TCAGGCTCTTGGCTCTGGACCAGTCGAGCTCTAGCCATTGCAGTCATTTGCACAGTGAACAAGAAAATGGAAAATTCCTTTCTGTCTCACCTCTCTCTGTAATGTTGCCTTTCCAATAAGTCCTTTTTAAAAAAATCCTGCAAGAGTGCGACTATATTAATAAAGCCTAAACTCCATTAGAAATCGGAGTGACAAAGAAGGCTAGGAAATGCAGTTTTAGCTTCCTTGGCCTATGAACTCTTCACCTGCTAATTCAGGCTGTAAATAGCCAGGAGCGGACTGGGCCCGCACTTTCGGAGCGCGGTCTTTCCTGGACCCCTGTTTCCAGCAAGCCCTGTACAAGAGTGCAGGTGCAACTCCAGCTCTGTCAGCTTCCTACTCCTCAGCCAGTCTCTGCAGAACAAAGATCTGCTATCCCACACCTAGGCCTTTGCCATAGCTATCTTACTACAGTTAACTCGTGCACCAATGGCATTTGCTACTGTTACAGCAAAGGCCAATGTTGGCGTTTAAGCAGACTCTTGGTTTAAAGGTGATTCTGTAACAGTAATGGGTGCCTTTTGAAATCAAGGAATGGAAAAAACATCAAAATCAAGTGCCCTTCAAAGTACGTGTGAAGGATTTTTTTTTCCTTGAGCGCATATCATACACACGGGTGGTATTCATATTAAAAATCACAAAACCACATCACAGCGCTCAATTCATTCTCTTCCCTGTGGGTTAGGGCATTTTCCTTTATGGAAAATGGTGCAGATGGCTTCTGCATACTGCAGCCACCGCTCCTGGACACACTGAGCTGCTGTTAAGCTGACCATCAGGCAGCACCTAATGACTGCTAAGGCTGATTACTTCAGCATGAACCAGGACCCTGCAGGGAAGGACACTCTCCTTCGCCTCCAATACCCTTCAACGGCCTTACACAAACAGCCAAGTGTGAGCCAAGCCCTTGGCCCTGCCCCTGTAGAGGCACTTTGGTCCATTGGGCAAAAATTGGCAACCGTAATGGGTTCCAGCTGATGTTCAGCATCCTGCAGGCTGCCCTGGCATTTCAAGACTCCTCCCAGGCTGTTGAGGGCCCTGGGCAGAAGGTGCGGCGGGCATTCAAACTGGGGGCCCTGCCATGTTGTTGTGTGGAGCCTCGTCTGGCTGCTGTGTGGCTGGCCAAGCAGCCACAGGGAGCTCAGATTACCTGGACATGGCTGACCCAGGAGATGGGGGCTGGATCAGCCTCGATGGAGGCACTGACTGTGCTCCCCAGACCCGAGGGAGGGCAAAAGCTTCCTTCCACACGACCTTATAAGTCTCAGAGACTTATACACTCCAACATATCGTGAGAGGGCACATCCTGTGGCCATGTGGGCTGCACAGAGAGATGTTGGGGACTGATCATTCACTGCACAGAAGAGTGCACAACAAGCAAGACAAGGATGCGATTCTGTGTGCAAATGATGTTTTACCATCATGGGCCCAGCAGATGTGGTGCCCTCCACTCTTAGCTGATATTTTTACCTATGGAAAAAAAAGTTGAGATTTCTTATGTTCAGGCATTTTGTGCTGGGGGTATGCAGGTCCATTTGTCATCATCTCAGTGGCTTCATGAAGGACATACCTGTTAATACATCTCAACAAAATGAAGCATCTGGTCCAGGGGGTGGCCACAGTCTGCAGGCCTTACTCCTCCTCAACCTGGGTGCTGTCAAGAAGATGAGGCAGGTGTTGGCACAGCAGTTAGGTCATTGCTTACAGTGCCTACACCCCATTCGGCCAAGTGCCCAGGTTCCCATCTGGGCCTTGTCCCTGATTCCAGCCTCCTCCCAGTGCCAAGTCTTGGAAGCAGTGGGTAATTGTTACCGCGCTGGGACCTTTTTAATGCCTTAAAAAAAAAACACCAAAAAAAAAAAAACAACAACAAAACAAAACACACACAACCAGGAACCTACTTCCAGGGGTTCTCTCTTGTCACCCAAATTTCTACTGGTTTCTAGGATAGCTCTGGGGTTCCTTCCACAATGGTGGTGTGGATGCTAAGCGATCTCTGGACAGAACTTTCAGCTGTCCCCAGCCTGTCCTGCCGAGCGCTGGGCAAGGACAGCAGCCAGCAGAGTCTGCCCCCCTGGCTGCACAGCACATCCGGAGAGACTCCAGCTGGCTGCTCTTAATTTAAAGCAGGAACCTCGGGGAGGTCAAAGAGCGGAATTCCTGCTCTGATTACTGATGCTGGGGCGGGCACCTGTCATCTAGGGGCCGGGCAGACAGACAGTGCGGTTCCTGCGTGCCGCGCCTAATTGATTAGACCCTGAAATTTGACTGCGGGGCTTTGCACTGCAGGCTGTCAGCTCATTGAACTTGGGGGAAGCCAAGACACCCAGCTTGACTAGTCTGTCTTGAAACTCTCCCTGCCCAACTCTCGCCTCGGCGGAGAACAAGCAAGCCTCTCCTAGGACAGGTGGGCCAAGCTGCTTCAATTTGCCAGCTCACTTGGAAATATGCTTGGGAGGCATTCCTGTGTGTTGGCAGCACTGGATGCCCACTGGGGCACTTCTGCAGCCGTTTTTGGGGAGCTCTGCTTGGGCATGAGCGTCCCCAAGCCCTCCACACCCCAGCTGGTTGTGCAGTCTCTGATGGTGTCAGGCGCCAGTTCTAGCAGCCTCCTGCCGTCAAACCTCCTTCAGTGACACCCTCCCCTGGTGTTCCTGGGCACCCCTGTGCTCTCATGCATCTCCTGCCCATGGCAGGCAGTGTTATAAAGCCCAGGTGGCAGTGTGTGACTCACGGTACACAGCATGCAAGGGCCTGGTGCTCGGCACATAGACCCCACCCGGCGTGTTCTGAACGCATCCTCCAGGAACACATTACAAGTCTGGCTGCTCCCCTCCTCCATCAGTTGTGTGTGTGGGGGGGGCGGTGCTTTCTCTCATTTAGAGTCAGGAGGTGCGAGGCCGTTAGGAGCCAATTTTGTCCTTAGCCTGGAAAGACAAATTTAGGAAGAAAAATCTGTTGCTGAGCTAGAGAGAGGCTGATTTTCTTTCTTGAGAAAAGTGTTTCTTTGAAATAAACTCTTGGCAAGCTGCTTGCTGGAAGGGCTGACTCCAAGTGAGCCAAAGGCCACCCTAGATGGCAGGGATGGCTGCTGACAACTAACTCCTAATGTGCCTGGCCGTGCTTACCTGGATAGGCTGCTCAAGCTCAATGCCACCACGGGGACAGAGATCTCAAGTTCACAGAAACTCCCAGCAACAGGAGGGAGGCATCAGCAAAACCTGTGTACAGGAGCACCTGTGCGTGCATGTATGTGTGTCTGTGTGCACGTGGGTGTATGTGTGTGCATGTGTGGATGCATTCATCTCTGGCTGGTATGGTCATTTGGGGAATTGAACCAATGGCCGGAAGATCTCTGTCTCTCCTTTCTCTGTAACTCTGCCTTTCAAAGGAAAGTAAACATATGTGTATATATATATATGTATTTTTTTTAAATTACCTCTAACTTATTTGTCAGCAAGTGATATGGAGTCATTCAAGTTTAAGAACTCCTTCCCCTCTAGAACTGAAGCTAGCAGCACACCAAAACCTCAGAAAGCAGTGGACAGATTTAACAACCGCAGGTGAAATCTACTATGCCTGTGCCAGGCCCAGTGCTAGACAACTTGGAAGGCTGTGCATTGAATGCTAACAATCCTGCAAGGCAGGCAGGTGGGGGACATCCAGGTCTTCTAAATGCAGAAATCTGGGGTTGGTGAGAATCAACAACAGTCCTAAGTACAAAACAACAGAGCCAGACAACAATTTCAGTCCTGACTGAGCTGTCTACATACCAAGTCCATGCAAGTATTTTAACTTCAGGAAATTGCTATTATGCAATGATTGTAATGTTATAATTATTTTTGCTCAATTTAAAAATTGCAGGGACAAACATTTATCACAGAATTATGAAAAATTCTAAAAAAAATCCCATTTTAATGTTTGGTCTTGTTCTAAGGGATTTTTTTTTTCAGGGAAGCCCTGATACAAAAGTCACCTGCATGTAGTAGGGCCTACTTGGGCTTCATTGAAATGACAAGAACACGATGGCCACGATCCAAGCTGAGGCCACTCAGAGGAGGGCAGCAGTGCTCAACACCAACCAGAAGCAAGCTGAACACACACTTCAAGCCCAGCTCCAATCTCAGGCCTTTTTTCCCCTGACCCCTCGAAGAGCTGCAAATTTAGCGCTACTTATCTGTATTCTTTGCTCTGTACTTTATAAAACAAATACCTGCTATTCTGCTACTTCAGTGTCAGTGGATTTAGGACTTTGGGTCTGCCTGACTTTAAAATCTCCTAATTGCTGCAAAAAAAAAAAAAAAAAGACCAATTCCTTGGTCTTGTTGACTCATACTATGTTAGTACTTCTCCATGGGCCCTTTGGGTCATCTACGGACTGCTTTAATCCAAAGAGCAAACAACTGTCCTGGATGGAGCTCCTGTATCTGCTTCTCAGCCCCTGGCCAACAAATTCTCTGAGTTCTAGCCTCCCCTCAGGGAGCATTTAGCAATACCTGGGAGAGCCATTTTTGAGGAGGATGCTATTGCTGTCAGTGAGCATTGTGGCTCACTGGACTAAGCTGCTGTTTGGGTTGCCAGCATCCCCACCTGCAGAGCTAGCTGGAGCTCTAGCTGCTCTGCTTCCGATCCAGCTTCCTTCTAATATGCCTGGGAAGTACTTGGGTCCCTGCCACCCATGTGGGAAACTGGAGTGCTGGGTTCTTGGCTTTGGCCTGGCTCGGCGCCAGCCATTAAAAGCATTTGGGGAGTGAACCAACAGATGGAAGATCCCTGACACAGTGCTTTTAAAATCAATCAATCTTATCCACGACAAAGAGTCACCCAGTCCAAACAGTGTGAGTCCAGAGAAGCCAATCCTGGAAGATAGTGACCTAGGAGCTGTCTTGGTCCAGTTCACCAGCCAAGAACAAATGTTGCTCTACTCAGGTTTTTATTTTAATCCAGAGTCCACACCATGCTTGTATTTAAATATTTTATTTTCATTTCCTCCCCTACCTCCAACCCCTCCCCCCCAAAAAAAAGCAACAGTGTCTGCAATTACACATGCCTTTCAGTGCTGGCCATATGCAAAACAAGTTGTACAGAGAAAAATAAGCTTTTCCCCTTTACAAGTGAAACAACACAATTTGCACATACAATATTATATATACATACTATTTTCAAAATCCTCCACAAAAGACAGAATATGATACAAATCTAGGCTTCCGCCCTCAAGCTCAGACTCAAGGAATTGACCTCTTGAATTGAAGGTGTTCAGATACAAAAATGCAATGCCTTTGTCAGTTTCCCCAACACCTGAAAGTGTTCCTCATGGCAACTCGGGGCAGTAGCTTTCATCATGACAGGTGCGGGTCAAAGGCTGGTCTCAGTATGAGTTTGCTGATGACTGCGAATGCTCCCATTATGGTGTAGTTCTCATTTCAGGTGTATGTGGATGGACAAACGTCATGGTACCCACGGCCCACATGGAGCCAGCTTCTGGAGCGCTGCATTGAACTAGACCACAGTATTGGTAACCGTTCAGGAGTCTAACAACTGCTATGACTAACTCCAAAGAGGTGTCCCTTCCTCTACTATTTATGATCTAAGTTGAATGTGTAATTGGTACATTTTTCTAGAGCAGCAGGTGGGACAGCCAAGAATGCAGGCTAATCAATGTTAGAACCTAAGAGTTTCATACAGTAGGTGATATCTATTGGCAAATATTCCTTAAGTCCTGTCACTCACTACTTCTAAAGTAGTAATATGGCAAATCTTCAGCACGGAACAGCAGCCTTAGAAATGTACACACACGACACTACAATGCTTACAAGGTGGGAGGGGGGCAACACACACATGTATTTTCTTTCATGAACACAAATGTGGAGTTGGAACATTTCACCATGAGGTGGATGGTGAGACCATGTGAAATAGGAGACAAGAATGCAGAAAGTGAACACATGGTTCTGGATGCAGGAAATGCACACAGACACGGGCTAACGAGGCAGCTCTGGCTCTTACTGTTGAGTGCAATTGAAGGTAACATGTAATACACAAAAAGGAAAGACCAGATGGTTCAAAGAGAGCTGAAGAGAGAGGGGCAGCCACACAACAGAGCTCTGGGTAGCGCCATCACTGTAGCATGATGTTGGATGCTGCCGCCTGCAATGCTGGCATTCCATGTGGATGCCTAGCTGCTCTACTTCCGATCTAGCTTCCTGCTAAGATGGTCCAAGTGCTTGGGCTCCAGTAACATTCTGGGAGGCCCAGATGAAGTTTCTGGCTCCTGACTCTGGCCTGGCTCAGCCCTGGTCACTGTGGCCATCCAGGGCATAAGCCAGTAGATGGAAGACTGCCCTGTAACTCTGACTATCAAAGATAAGTAAATCATCTGGGGGTGGGAGGAACAAAATAAAACAAAACAAAACAAAAAACCAAAAAGCTCTAGATAGGAAAGGGCCACCTTGGGATTGCCACGTGTGGAAGCAGAAAGAGTTAGTCCCCGAATTCCTGCTGGCCTTGGTTTTGGGTGCATGTTGTCATTCACGGGAATCAGCAATGATAGAAATGGTTCCTTCCCAGAAGGAGAATCATTTCCACCAGGTTCCACAAGAACATGTCACCAAAGAAGACTTGCAGAGTCAAAATCCCAGGCCTCACAAAGATGTTCCTCTTAGAAGTTTCCAGATTCTACCAGCTACCTAAAGTCATCAGTGATGAAGGTCTATGCATCCTCGTTCCATCCTGTCCTGTTGCCTCTTTAGGATCTGTAAAGCAGGAGTCAGTCCCTTTCCACAGTCCCATTCTGTGCGGTCCATAAAGATGTGGGATTTAGCCAACTTCCCTGCCTCAGGTCCTCAGGTCTGTTCCCACCTCAGGTCATGCCTCAGCCCAGTGCACTGCCTCGCTTACATGCCTGACGGCAGGGAGGTAAGGCACCTTTAATTTTGTTGGGTGCACTCTGCAAGGGACTGTGTGTCAAAAAGAAACAATGGAAGAAGAAAAGAAGCAAATTATGTTTGCATGGGTATATATTTCAAGGCAAATATCCTAGAGAAAAAAATACCAAATAATGACAAAACAGCAATTGCCAAGGAGGAAATGATTTGTCACATTAAATAACTCACTTTTCATTAGGCCCCACACAGTCATGCAAAAGACTACATAGAAAAGCAAACAGGAAATAAAAGCATACTTCTGCTCATTAAGACTATGTCCATAGCAAAAACCCAATCATATAAATTCCCCTGAAACAAAGAACATGCAACTATCCTACTTGCCACTGCCTACACAGGCAGCAAGGGCACGGGGAGGCTGGGATTAGCCATACACAGATGCTCGGTTTTCCTGAGGGACCCGGGCAGCACTGCAAAGAACCGGGTACAAAGCCAGCAACGTGAAGATGTTTATGTGCATTCAGAAAACAGTATAAATGCTATCTTTTCTCCCTAACCGTTCCCCACCCCGAGGCTTTCCTCCTCTCCGCCTCCCTCTCTCCTATATAAACCAACTCAAGTTATAAAATGGTTGCCGTGTCAGCGACACGGGGAAAGTACCAGAGGAGCACGTTCGTTAGGAGCCTATGCACAGAAACAGCGCACACAACAAGCAGATCTGTACAAATATACAACCCCGCCCCCAACACCTACTCTACCACTGCCTACTGGGCAACAAGGGGTGGGGGGCATGGGAGACTTTTCATAGAATCAATTTCAACCTCAACTTCACATAGTACCTAAATAATCAAGCAAAAGACTAAACTCATAAGGAAGCAAACATGAAAACAAAAAGGGCAAGCATGTGTATCCATTAAAAAAAGAATCACACTAGACCTTTTCTCTAACAATTCCATTAGCCACGGAAAGCCTCCAAGCAGAAACACCACCAAGCACAGGGCAGCACTCGCCCCCGGCTGCCCAGGTCCACAGGTGCCCCTGCGTCCGGGCTTCCCGTCACACTCAACACCTCCCAGTCCAAGCGGAACACTGCACTGAGGACGAAAAAAAGCCGAACCAGCACACACTTACATACTCTGAAAGAAAAAAATCACAAACCCAGCTTTCCCCTACCTCCCCGCCCTAAACCCAAACAGCTACCTCAGCATCTACTGCCCAGACTGGCAACAAGGGAAGGGGAGGAGAGTTTTTTTTTTTCATAGAATGAACCTCAATTTTCATTATGTACCTAAGTATTCACAGAAAGGTGTAAGTACAAAACGAAGTGCAGAAAAACCACTTATATACACTTAAAGTACACGTCCCCACCGTCCAGGGCGAGGGTCGAGTACAGAAGCTAACCTAAGCTACTCTACAGTGATTGCCCACCGAGGCAATAAGGGAAGGGGCAGAGAGGAGATTTTCATACATCCGGACCTCCACGTTTCATTAAGTACCTGTCTGTCCATGCGAAGGACAGGGTACGAAATGAAGTAATACAATAGTAACAGAATCTGTACATTGGCTTTAAAAAAAAGTTTATATACATTGTCCCTATGCCCTGTCCCTTCCCACCCACACTAAAAACTTCACAAAAATCAGAGCTACTTTACAATTATTGCCTAGAAGGATAGAAAGGGGAAGGAGAGGGGCCGATTAGGCTCCAGAAGTTCGCCTTCCTGGGGAACCCAATGTCCAACGACTTATGTGCCGAGCAAACACTGCTGCAGTGCAGTGAGCCCCCAGAACCAGCCAGCCGCACTACCAGGCCTCAGCTGCACCCCAACATGTGGGGACACACGTGCCTGCTCTAATGGAGCCTCCTTGTTCCTCACACAGCCATGAGAAGTACGCAGGAATTGAACTGTCAGAAATATAGCAAAAACATTACTTACATTTTTAAGGTACACACCCTTAGCCTGAAACCACTCCTCCCGCCCCTCCCCCAGCAAAAACACCTTTAAAAAACTAAACTACTCTAAAAATATTGCCCACGTAGGCAATAAGGGAAAGGGAAAAGAGGAGATTGTTATACATGCGCAATTCCACACATTTTATCAGGTACCTTCCAGTCTGGGCACCCAATGAATTAATACATTATGGCAGTAAAAACATATATACACAGTATTTACATATATACAGTAGACACATTTCCTTGCCTCTTCTGCCCCAGCTTCTTCCTCCCCATGAGAACTCCACCCTGACAACTATTCTATTTGCTATGGTGTGGGTGCAACAGGCAACCCAGCATGGGGACAAGAGGACATTCAGATAGCCAAGCTCCACATTGCTTCCATCAGGCACGTCCGTGGCCAGGGAAGGCCACAGCACCAAACAGGTCAGTAACACAATGTGGGGGCAAGGATAGTTACACACACTAGGTCCACATGCTAGTCCCTCTCACATTCCCCCAAACTACTCTATCAGCTACCAGGAAGGGAGCAGGAAGGGAAGGCAAAGAGGAGTTCTGTTCTGGAGCCTCAATATCCATTAGGTACATATGCACGTACGCAAGAAGCAGATATACAATGAAACATAAAAAAAGCAACATACCATTTATATATCCTGGGAAGGATCACACACACACACACACCACCAGCGTTACATCAAAACAACAGCAATGGTGGCTACACTGCTGTTCCCGCAGCAAGGAGGAGATGGGCTGTTGGGACATTCACCACACTTTTGGACCGCTGTGGCCTGTCTACAGGTGTGTGAGAAGGATGCCCAAGTAAGAAAAGGAATTATACTCACAAAATAGCAGCAAAACTCTGGACACCTTTTCAAAAGAACATGTCCTGCTCTCCCTCTGATGACACGCCCTCCTGCTCTGTGGCTGTTGACTACATGGGCACTAAAGGACGGAGATTTTTTACCTAGGACACCATCTCAGCTGCATCACATTTACATGTAGAATATAAAAATATATTTTAAAAAGCACATATGCATATTCTAAAAATACAAATTCCTGCCCCCCCCCAAACCACCCAGAGAAATCACTCCAATGATTCTGCCAGCTGGTGCCCACGCAGGCAGTAAGGACAAGGGAGCAGCAGAGATGGGTCAAACATTTGTACCTCTGCTTTTCATTTGGTAGAGGCAGAGCAAAAGAATGTAAAATGCATGTCTGCCACTGGAGCTGGGGCCAGTCTGGGACCTCTCTGAAAAAAGTTAATTCCCCAAACAAACAAACAAAAACCCACAGAGGCAGAGCTGGGAAGAGCAACACTGCCACAAGGGCCTCCATGCTGGGACAGATCACGTCTGCCTGTGTGATTTGGCTCGGAGTAGCAGTGGCACTGACGCTGAGACACACAGAACTTGCTGGGACCCATGGCGAGGGCAGGGATGAGTGTCCGGCTGCGGATGGAGCAGACGCTTGCAGTGAAACCAATGACAGGCTCTCTGTGAACCCGAGTTCCTCATTCAGGGGGTGCTCTGGGGGTGCCTGGTGGAGGTGTTAACAGTGACAAAGCTGCATCCACATGCTCTGCCCACAATCCTTCACAACTACACAATGAAAATACAGATAGCCAAGAAAGCTACACCTAAGTGGGACGTGGGAAATAAGCAAACCCATCAAGACCGAAGCAACGACAGCGACAGAGCTTCACTGAAAGAGCCTGAAAGGAAACAAGATGGAAGAAGGCAAACACGGTGGGCGCGGACACTACTGGAGACGGAAGGTCTCTCCACACTATCACAACAAGCTGGACCTTCTCTATTTCCACTTGGGCAACTGCTCAGATCTCCAAAGCATACATTTTCTTCCCTAGCTCTAGGTTTCCCATTCTGTCTCTCCTATGGTCATCCATGCTGCTTCCCGCAATGAACAGGACACCTGTTCAACAAGTGCTCCATGGAGTTACCAATCTGTAAGACCCCCTAAAACAAACACAGTAGCTATGTCAAAGTTGGGGTGGTTGGCGGGGAGGGACCTGGAAAACCACCATTACACTTATTTTAGATTCAGGGTTAGTTCTAATTAGTTCCAGAGACATAGGTTAGCATAACATTAAAAACAATGGAATCGTATGGGAAAAACTGATGTGTTCAAAACTGCAAGTAATTGAGGCAAGGCTGCAAATAAAACTAAATGCATTATGGATCAGATGTCATGGGAATGAACAGCCGCCTTTGAGTATGACAACAGCAATGGATGGTGAGCCACCTCTTTTTAGCCTATGGTTTGATCTGATTCTTCTAGTAATGCCCCTAGTCCATGCCACACATAAGCATTCATAAGACACAGACAATCTAAGACCACAGCAAGATTTGCCATATGCAGAGTTCACATACATTTCAGAGGCAATGTCAAAAATGGCAGGTAGAACTGAAGCCTATTTCATTGATTCTGAGAAGTAGCAAAATTTAAACTCTGTATCAAAGTGAAATTTAGTTATACAATGTGGTAAAAAAATTGGCAACCAAAAAAACCTTCAAAAGGATAGTTATTTTTTTCCCTCATTTTGAAAATACAAAAACGCACCATGTTCGAGGGTGACTGAAACGATCACTCGCTTTCCCACGCGCAAGAGGAGTCAAGCCCCACAGTCACCTCGGGCTCCATGGGACCTGCGTGGACAGTGCTGTGACTCCCAGCAGGTGTTTTCTGCTGTGAGAAATGGACGCTCAGAGGAGACCAACTTAGGAGAAAACACACTGGAGTTAACAGAAGACTATTTTCTAGCTTGCCAGCCTTGCTAAATTCTGCTATATAAAAATATCTTCATAAAATAAAATATAATTTTATACACAGTCCCACAAATTCTAACTTCATACCTGCTGAATAAAAACAGGTGACCTCTCCCAGTGGGGTGCTCAAGTGCTCACAAACGGGCAGCTACCCTTCTTATATACATAGAAGCTGCTCTCCAAACCATACAGAGTTCTCCAGAATTGTTAGAAAGAAAGCTTTTAAGAATTAAAGAAACACAACAATCTAGGTATAAGTCTGCATAGCTCAAAAAATTCAAGTACAGTATTTCTCCAGAAGGAGTAAGAACGCCAGAGATCTGGGTATTTTCCCTCAGTTTTTTCCCTTTTTTTCCTTGGCCACTCTTTCTAATGTTAGTTGGCCACAAAAAAACAGAAAAACTATTTTTTTTCTTCCTGACTAAAGTAAAGTATTATTTTTGAGAGTGGAAAAAATTTCAAAGCCCACCATATCAAACATGAATTCAAGATACTCCTTTCCTGTACTCTTTTTTCCTTTAAGGTACTATGGTGAACTTCAAATAAAAAGTTTCAATTTCTCAAAGAATCTGCTTTAAAATATGCTCTTAATATGCTACTTTGTCATATAAAATGAAAATGCACACAAATGGGTGTGATTGAGAGAGTGCGCAAATTGTCAGGGACTTAAAAGGCAACTTCAGCAAATCGTATTCTTGGTGATCGTAACCAAAGTTACAATGAAAAGGACCAGTGTCTTGCCACACATGTAGGAAGACTCGTGAGTAACACAGAGCATGTCCATGGTGGGGAGTGAGGGGTGGACTTGGGGAGTACCGGAGTTCAGAAAAAAAATAATTACAACTAAAGCCAGCTCATTTTGGAACAATTTCCTATGATAATGTTATAAAAGATTGGGGGACAGGGAGGGAACAGTGCTAACTATTTGGACAATTTAACCTTTTGGTCTTGTTATTTAGCTTTTCAGTACAACAAAAATTTAAAAATTCTGTAGCACCTGGCTATTGTGCAGAAAAGAACGCAATAGTTAGAGATATTAAACTTCTTCAGAAAACTCAAGATTAATCCGGAACTCCAAGTCAAAGTAGATCTGCACAGCGGAGATGGGTTCTCGACAGCTGCAGGCCTCCTCACCTGTCACCACTCCCGGCAGCTCACTTACTGCCACATCCACCAGTAAGAAGTGACAGACGACCGAGGAGCCAGGGGCCTGCAGACGCTGGCTGGATGGCAGCCTTGATCTTGTTCACTGTGTCTGTACCCTTCCAGATACTTCCGGATACTGAGAAACACAACAGAATTTCCAAACTGATGTTCCCCTCCCATTTGCATATCTTCAAGGTAGAAAAACGACTTGTCACTTTTGTAGACAGTTGGTGTATAGGTGAACACGCATTTGTAATAAATAAGTACAGACTGCCCAAAGACACTTTAGAAAAGACAGATGAGAAACACAGTCTGGCCCTGAGCTAACTACGACTCCTAACAGTGCAAACGACTTGGCGGTAGGGCTGGCTCCCCTGGCGCTTTTGCAAAAGCAGCAGAGACCAAGATCCCAAGCTCTCCAAACAGGTGACCAAACGGGCGAGGCTGCGTACGCTACAGCCACCACCGCAGAGTCTGCAGGTTCTTCTCCATCCACTGGATGTTCAACTGGATGATCTCCAAAGCCTCCTGGACACAACGCAGGCGGAAGGTGGCCTCTGACTGATTTTCAAAGAACGCCTGGACCTGTGAGTGCCACAGAGAAGGGGTGGAGGGGAATTGAAGAGGTCTGCTGTCGCCTTCGAGCAAGCTTTAAGTTAGTGATGGCTGAGCTGGTATTGGGCGGCAGCAGGAAGCAGCTTACTGTCTCAAGGACTTACATGCACTTCCTAAGTACGCTGCTATCTGAAATCATTTTAGAAATTCTCTTTATTCCCGCAAGAATGAACTTTAAAAAAAAAACACTTTTTTATTGTAAAGTCAGATATACGGAGAAGGAGAGACACAGAGGAACATCTTCTGTCCAATGATTCACTCCCCAAGTGGCCACAACTGCCGGAGCTGAGCTGATACAAAGCCAGGAGCTGGGAGCCTCCTCTACAACTCCCTTATGAGTGCAGGCTCCCAAGGCTTTGGGCTGTCCTCAACTGCTTTCCTAGGCCACAAGTGGGGAGCTGGATGGGAAGCAGGACCTCCAAGATATGACCTGGCACCCTTACGCGATTGTGGTGCATGCGAGGGGAGGACTTCAGCTGCTAGGCTACTGCACTGGGCCCAAGAATGAATTTTTCTATCTTAGTGAGAAAGGGACAGGTGTTTGGTGCAGGAGGTAAGGTGCCGCCTGGGATGCCTTCATCCCAAATCGAAGCGCCTGGATTCGATTTCTGGCTTCATTCTAGCTTCCTGCTAATGAGAACCCTGGGATGTGGCAAGTGACGAGTCAAGCATATGGGTTCCTGCCACTCTCGTGGGAGCCAATCTGGGCTCCTGGTTATGCTTTGGCCCAGCCCTGCCTGTTGCAGTACTTGGAGAATGAACCATCAGATGGAAGATTCTTTTTCTGTATTTCTTTCAAATAAATAAAATAAATAACAGGAAACATCTGTCCAAGTAACAATAAATAAGACAGAGTCTGAAGTTAGGTTTGGCTCTATGAATTCACCTTTGAATTAGATTCTTTAAAACAGCCTTACACCCACGTTAGTCATTTATATTGCTGGGAGTAGGATCAGAATTTTCCTTCCCAGCAGAATCATTCACACTACAGTGCTGACGGAGGAGGTGCAGGGGTTCCCATGGCAAGCCACCAGCTCACCCAAACCAAGCAGCCTAGGGGACATGGTGACCCAGTCTGGCTCCAAGCACTTTATACCACTCACCTCAGACAAATGGGCCTTGGTTGAAAACAGGTGAGTTGATCCTGCAACAATGCTCTGTATGGTGTAGGAGCCCAGATGGAACCTGAAGAATGCAAAAACAAAAGTTAAGAGAAATGAGGCAGCTCCAGGCAGGCAGAACTGCCAGAGGGCAGAGCCCACTCCTGGGACCTGCAGCCCAGGGGGTTAGCAGGCAGGGCAAGGAAAGAGGGGTGGAGACAGGCAAGGGCATTCGGAATGTCCACACAAACTACTCATTCCACCAGGTCTCACAGATCAGATCACACGCCCAGAACCAACACGTGCCATCTAGCTGGGTGTGTGTGAGCTCACCGACGCCTTGGAAACAAGGAAGTGTTTTCAACAGTCACACCTAAACAGTGCCTCCAGAAAGGTCTGCGGTCACATTGAGCCGAGCCATTCGGAGGCAGCCAGGGCTAGGCCCATCAGGACTTGAGCTGAATGCTAACGTCACATGACTCATGTGATGGGACTATGCTGACAATCATGAGCATTTTGGGATGTTTCAATTAAGCGGTCACAGAAGTATCTATCTGTCACAGCAAATCCTAACTCCTATGAACCAACACAACACTGGGAAATGAGTAATTCATTGAGAAACTTACTTCTGTACAAGCTTATTCCAGTTCTCTTTGACAAAATCCCACGCCAACAGGTGTCCAGGGAAATGCCGGCCCACTGTTCGGATGATAAATGACAGCTTTTGTGTTCGGATGATATCTCCATCAAGGCTAGTTTTCATTAACCTGAAGAGCGAAACAGATTGAGCCTCCTAAACATTTGTTCACACAGAGTGATGACTGAACCTAAGTTGTTATTGTTTCCTGATGAAAGTTCTAGAGCAATTCAAGGAAATTAAGTGTTGGGTAGGCTAAGACTGATCTATAGAATGAAGATCTGCCAGCTTTGGAAATGAAAGCAAAGCTTTTCAACAAGACGGGTGTTCATATATGTTATCAAACAACAGCTTTTGACATAAAAACATTTGAGAAATAAATCTTGATGAATTGATCATAATTCTGGAGACTCTTTTTCCCCTGGTAAACATCTTATTAGCTTTGAGCAGGAATATTAAGTTATCATGCCAACAAATCGGAACAGTTTCCATGATCTGACTAAGAAGATACTATCTCAGAACTGGCTCCTCCTGGGTAAGGCAGCGGCTCTGGGAGGGCAGACACTGGCCAAGGCAGGACCTGATTTCATGTGTGGCTCTCACGCCTGACACATTCCCTGACAGCACAGATGCTGGCAGGCAGCAGTGAATGGTCAAGTAGCTGGCTCCCTGGCATGCACATGGCAGACATGCACTGTGTCCCAGCCTTTGTGTGCTGGTCCAGCCCCAGCTGTTGCAGTCATAAGCGGAGTGACCCAGGAGATGGACATGCTCTGCCTCTCAAATTATTTGTTTTAAAGTGCATGCGTTTATTAATATTACCAGTTGGCACTGTACTAGACCATGTTCTAAATCTTTGGCATGGCAATGCTAGGAAGCAGGCATTGATGACCTAACTCCATTTTGCAAATGAAGAAGCTGCCCTCCTGTTGTGGCTAACCGGCACTGCCACAATGGCCTCTCCCCGCAGTGTAACTTACAGACCCAGACTCTCCTTTCGCAGAGGTCAGAGGCTGCTCACAGGGTCTAGAAGAATGTGGGACTGACAGGTGCTGAGAACATCTCTGAGACACCATCAAGACTCATTACCAAAAACAGCCCATAGAGGCAGAGAACCAGGTGTCCCCCACTATCCTTTCGGCCGTGGCCTTCACCTTGCACATCTTTCCCACTAGACACTTTCGTATTTCTCCTGGTTGCTTAGAGCTCTTCCAAGCACCACTGCCTGGAGTTCCTGTCCAGGGCCATCTCACTGTCCTTTCTCTCTCTTGAAACTCCTGCTTCTGGGCCTTTCTAGAGAGATACTGAAAAGGAAAAGCCTGGCACATAAATTCTACTGAAAGCAGAGCCCACACATATTCTGTTACCTTTCCTCCAAAGTACCTAAATTTTCAGAATGATATTTTGTAAAGGGTGATGCCTCAGCCCAAAAGAACAAAGCACTGACTGGTTTAAGAACAGGGAGCCAGTCGAGGCTGTATTTTCTGATAGCTGCCGGCCTCTTCCAGGCTGGGCATGAGCTGCCTATGTGTAAAGGCTCAGTCCCCAAGGCGAAGCCCGACCCATGAGTGCCTCACTGTCCTGTGCAGGCACTGAGAGAACAGGCGACCTTAAAGGTGGGGAGCTCCTGCCCCCACAGCACAATGCTTCTGCACCCTGCTGCATGTAAGACCCCTCAAGTGGTTTCCTACCAGTAGAGTTTCCGCACATCCTCTGAGCTGGCAAGAGCCTCCAAGATTTTGTTCTTCTCTGCTTCAGAGCCTACAGAGACATACTTGCTTAAGAGGAAAGTCCACCCTTTGTCCGTTCTGGCTCCCACTTTGAACACAGTTGTCATGACATCAGTAGGTAGGCTGTGTGAGAGATGGTAAAATGGGAGACCAGTAAGAAAACATTCCGAGCACAAGGAAACTAGTGGTGGCTGAGCACCAGGGTGGGCAGTAACGACAAGAGTCTTCACTGCATGATTTAGGGTCAGGACAAAGGTTAGTTTCCTAGAGGAAGGACTATAAGCTGGTTTCCTAGACATCAGTTCAACTGAAGACAGTAATTGTTCACTGAGCTCACAAGGGATCAGGGATGCTGGGGAGTGGAAGGGTTGGGGGAGGAGGGAACAGAGAGAAGAGGGATCCCTGTCCTCCAGCAACTCACAGGCTATGGTAAAGCCTGGAACAGTTAGCGTCTAGGGCAAAGCCCAAGCAGTCCCTGTGGAGGAGACATAGGGTGGAAAGGGGATGAACCAACTCTACTGCCTTCAGCAACATCTCAGAGCTGAACGGTGTGAGAAGGCCACCCGAGCCACTTGCACCTGCCTCCCCATCTGAAGCCTGGACTCTCTGGTCATAACGCCCAGTGTGGAACCTGGAGAGAACACTAAAAGCTCTGGCAACTCAACCTAGGACGTCTCATTCCTAAGCTCAAACATGGTTTGTCACCTCACACTTCTGAGAATGGCTGCTGTCAAGACGGTCAGAAAACTAGCGTTGGTGAAGATGTGGAGGCACTGGAGCAGTGCACAGCTGGTGGGAAGGTAAAATGGTACAGCCACTATGGGAAACAATATAGCAGTCCTTCAAAAATGAGAGCTGCTAGGTATATGTTGCAAAATGGAATGTGTGTCTGCTTTTAAGAAGATGAGTTTGATACATGCTACAACATGCATGAAACTTGGAGATAGTGGGCTATGTCATAAGGAGACAAATTCTGCATGACTTTACTTATATGAGGATGCTTCAATAAGTTTACAGAAAGAGGCCAGTGTTGTGGTGCACCATTTTAAGCTGCCGTCTGCAATGCTGACAACTCATCAAGGTACTTGTTTGAGCCATGACTACTCCACTTTTGATTCAGCTGCCTGCTAACATACGTGGGAAAGTAGTAAGACGGCCTGAGTGCTAGGACCCGACATACATGTAGGAAACTCCGTTGGAGTTCTAGCCTCCTGGCTTCAGTCTGGTCCATCCCTGACCACTGTGGTCAAGTCTTGTTTGAGAACACACATGCATAAAATTCACTGCTTTCTAACATTTCTTACTCAGGATGGGGAGATCGAGGTGCAGTACAAGACAGGAGGTAAAAGGAGGAAGGAAATTTGAGCAGAAGGATACTACCTTTCAGTTCCATTGGATGCCAGCCAACTGTCAAACAGCTTCTCAGCTGTAGTGCTGCAGTTCGCAAGGTCATGGGCACAAGCAAATTCCAGCAAGACTGACCGAAGTTCCCGCACAGACGGCGTCCCCTCATTGGTCCAGGTTTGTTGTTGGATCTGGCTTTGAAGCAATTTAAATACTCTGTTCTAGAAAGACAATATGGATTACAGTGGACAATCAGAAAAACCAGGACAACTACATTTCCTCCCCAACAGTTACCTAATGAGGAGGAAGAAAAATGGGCAAAGACATTAGTAATTAAATATCAACCATATACACCTAACACACAGCTACGAGAAAGCCATTCGATAACAAAGCTGGCAATACAGAGTTAATGATGTAACTAGAAAGAACGGATGACTTCAGTGTAGCAGTAAAACTCTATCCTGTGTGTACTCACCTAGAAGCTACTGTCCTAACAAACAGGATACATACAGCTATTGTTGGAAGGAACTGGAATTCTCTGACCTGTGTTTCTGGAATCCGCAAGCCCATAAAAAACAATGAGATAAAACTATCCACCTCCTTTACAGGTGGGTAATGTTTAATATTGCTGCATTTTAATATCAAAGATATTTCTAACACATTAACTAAAGTATGGTATTGTAAAACAATCTAATCAGACCAAATTAACAAGAAAATGAGGACTTTAAGAATAGTTGTTTGCAATCCATGTTTTTATTTCAATTTTTAATTTAAAGAATCTTTACGTATACAGAGAAGATGTAAGAATTGTAAGTGAACATGTCTCCATAAATCATCCATCTAGACTCCCCAGTGCCTAACACACTAACATCGGCTTGATTTTTGTGTGTATATAATACATACAATATATTTGCTTTGTTTAGGTGTTTCTTTTTAAGTATCTATTTATTTGTTGGAAAATCATAGTTACAGGGAGAGACGGAGCGACAGAGATGCTGGTTCACTCCCCAGATACTTAACACTGAGCTGGGCCAGGTGAGTTCCAGACTTCCGGCTTTGTCCTGATCCTGCCTGATCACTGGCCATTCTGGGAGTGAGCCAGCGCATGGAAGATAGCTGTCTCCTCCCATCTGCTCTGCCTGTCAAGTCTATCTTTACGTAAAGACATACTGAATGAATCTGATAAATCCGAATAACATGTACGTTTGCAACTGACTCTAAGGCTGCAGTTACTAGCACATTATCTTTGGGTTTTGGAAGTGAGCAGTTTCAAACAGCCTAAATACTTCTAAATAGGAAACTGGCTAAACTGTGATAGGTGTTAACTATGGAATATTCTGAAGAATATTTGGGTACTGCATACGAAGACAACGGAAAAATTTAGGATGAAAATTCGGGACAAAAGCCAGTTCACAGACTAGTGCTGTGGCATGACAAGTTAAACTACTCCCTATCTTTCAATACAATGGAAAACCAAACCAAGTAAGAATTAAAAAGGATTATTTGTTGACTCAAACAGCAACTGTTCTTAAAAAAAAAAAGTGGTATTAAGAAATAAAGCTTTGATTTATTTTTTGTTATTGGAAGGTCAGATACATAGAGAAAAGGAGAGACAGAAAGGAAAAATCTTCCATCCAATGATTCACTCCCCAGGCAGTTGCAATGGCTGGAGCTGAGCCAATCCAAGCCAGGAGCCAGGAGTTTCCTCTAAGTTTCCCACCTGGGTGCAGGGCCCTAAGGCTTTGAACCATACCCGACTGCTTTCCCAGGCCACAAGCATGGAGCTGGATGGGAAGCAGGGCCATTGAAATTTGAGCTGGCTCCCATATGGGATCCCAGTGCTTGCAAGGTGAGGACTTTAGCCACTAGGCTACTGCGTCAGGCTTTTAAATTTTTTTTTTTTTTAAACAAAAAGTATGCTGGAAACGCTGACATTGCTGGGATACAGACATACTTAACCTAACATAAAGGGGAGGCTTTGGATGAGACTCATGTAAGTTTGGATCTCAGTCTCAGTGCTATTGTTATCACCAGGCAATGACTGGTGAAATTACCCAATGAGGGCAGAAATATCAGCCTTGGCATTGTGTTTTGCAAGAGAATCCACATTAAGCACTAAGCATGGTATGAAGAATGTAACAATCACTGAAATGCATTTAGTTCTGGTATGTTTCACTTATTCATTTGCTCAACATTTATTGAGTGTTACCAAGGGCCAGCTCATATTCCAGGCATTGGTGCTTATTAAAGTTACTAGTTGAGAAAGTTATAAAAATCTTAAACCATTAGAGGAGATTTCAGAAATTATCTAAATTGAGAACCACGTGTACCAGTAGGAACAGGCACCTCCTGTTGGGACAGACGAGAAGCTTGGGGGAAGGGTGCATTCAAGCTCCATTTGGCCCCTCTGCCCTACACACTCCCAGCCCCATGCTGGGAGCTCAACATGTGATGAGAGAGCTCAGCACGGAAGACTGACTGCATGTGAAGACAACAGCCATGGCAGAAATGAGGCCCCTCTGATAAAGTAACCAGTCTAACCCGTTCCTCTTCCTAGTGAGGGACACTAAACTTCTGAAATTCTTTTTCTTTTCCTAACTGCTGATTCCAAACTTCCTTCCTTTATCTGAAAGCTGCCATCTGTCCAGGTTCCTGAATCCTGGCCTATATAGTAAACCCTGTTGTAGAAGATGCTGACAGAAAACTGTACACACACAAAGAATTTATCACCCCTCCCCAAGCTTTTAAAGATTCAGTCAACAGTTTAAAGTGTCTAAAATGACAACAGTTAAGGTCAGGCCAGGGGCTTTAGAGAAAGTAAACAAGTCTGCAAAATCAAGATCCTTTTAGTGCTCTGCAGATAAATGGGTATTCACCAGGACTACCATGCGTTAGCTAGGGACTGGCAAAAACTCCTAAACAGAACATTCTCAGTCATTCTAGTCATCACTAGGAAACTAATGCAGAGACCGCTGCAAACAGCCTTTTCTAAGCATTACCTGTATACAAATAAAACAGTTTTCTAACTGTTTTCCTGTGACTTCATTTTGACAGCAGCTATATTTAGATAATCAAATAAGACCACACCACAGCAAGGCTTTATTCATCCTTTATGACAAATCATGACATTTGGATTCAAAGAAGAGCTTCCACAAACAGGAAAATAAAGTAAGTAGAATTTTAATTGATTGCTTGCTTGGCCCATTCCTGGCTGAATGGAACTCTGAGTAAAAAATATCAAAGGCAAGGAACAAAAGCAGCTGGCTGAAAGGCAGACTTACCACCAGTCTCGAGGCCAGATCCATGCGGCCCAGCTTCTCAAGGAGGTTGTAGATGAGGTCTGTCTGGAACAGGGCTTCTGTGATGGGTGCAGTGTGGCTCTCATTTCCAAGATAATCAATCAAATCAAACGCCCTCTGAAGAGGCACCTTGCCTAGGCTAAAGGAGTAAAGAATGGAAAAGTAAACAAGCAGAGACTCACACAAGGGTTCTATGCACCACGCTGAGAGAAACTTTATGGCTGGATGGTGAGCCTTGAAGACCAGGATTTAAACACAATGTTAAAATTAGACCCCACACTTACTGCTTCTGATGAACTGCAAGTGGCTGAAGGTTAAAGATGTGTTTCAAGAGAAAGAAATAAGAGCTGATTTTTTTTTTTTATCCGGTAAGCCACATGTAAACTGCTACTGATTCAGTTAAACAATTATAATGCCTTGGGTGAAAAAAGATGACTAGTTTCATTTTATTAATTACTTATATGTACTAGAAGAGAAGGAGTATTAAAAAAAACCTTTCATAATTTGGCTGCATAGGAATTAGTCAAACCTGTCAGGGCGAGGTAATTACAGATTTAGAGTATGTTTTTAAAATGAAAAATTATAAAGAATTTACAGCAGTGATGGCTGAGATGATTTATGAAGGTCATTTTAGAGGTTGGTGTTGTGGTTTAGCTAGGATAGCAGCATTCCCTATTGGCAGGCCAGTTCAGGTCTCGGCTACTCTGCTTCTGATCCAGTTCCCTGCCAATGTGCCTGGGAAAACAGTGAGATGTTTGAGCCCCTGGCACCCATTCTGGAGGCCAGGGTGGAATTTTGACCTCCTAGATACAGCCTCGACCAGTTATTGAGGCCTTTGGGATGGAAGATCTCTATCTCACTATAAGCTTTCACCATGCCATGCCTGTGACTCTTTCAAATAAATACATAAGTATTTTAAAGATTTACTTATTTGAAAGTCAGAGGTGTAGAGGGACAGACAGAGACAGACAGGTCTCCACCTGCTGCTTCACTTGCCAAGTGCTACCACAGCTAGGGCTGAGCCTGGCAGAGGCCAGAAGCCTGGAGCTTCATCCCGGTCTCCCACGTGGGGGGCACAGGTTCACATAGTATTCTCCGCAGGCTAACAGGGAGCTGCAATAGCAGTGGACTGGCCAGGACACAAACTGCTGCCCGTGGGAGGTACTGGTGTCACAGATGACCACTTGATCCACTACTCCATGATACTGGCTCCAAAATGAATCTTTATATTTAAAAAGTCACTTCATGAAAGTGTTCATTGAAGGAGTTCAAGGGTGGTCAGAAAAGAGTACTTGAGTGTTCTTGATATTTCTAGGTTTGTTACTGATCTGTGCTGGGAATCACCTGCCTAGAGTGTATCTTTACATAAGGCATCATCACGCGTGGCCATGGAAACCACAGAGCAGGAAGTGGCCTGTGGCTCAGAAGGCTTTGGACACCTGAGGTGGCCATCAAAGCAAGAGTAGGTACTAAGCTTCACACTTAAACCTAACTGGGGGCCCGGCATGGTGGCCTTGCGGCTAAAGTCCTCGCCTTGAATGTGCCAGGATCTCATATGGGCGCCGGTTCTAATTCCAGCAGCTCCACTTCCCATCCACCTCCCTGCTTGTGGCTTGGGAAAGCAGTTGAGGATGACCCCAGAGTCTTGGGACCCTGCACCGTGTGGGAGACCTGGAGGAAATTCCTGGATCCTGGCTCTGGTTCGGCACAGCACTGGCTGTTGCATTCACTTGGGGAGTGAGTCACTGGATGGAAAATCTTCCTCTCTGTGTCTCCTTTTCTCTGTATATCTGACTGTGTGATAAAAACAAACCAACAAATAAACACCTGATTGTGAAGAATTTTTTCATGAAATAAAACAAAGTCTGAGTGCCTATACCACTCTATTCAGCAAAATGTGTGTTTTGCAGCAAAGAAACTACCCCAAACAAAGCATACTCTACCCTGCGAGTTCAAAAATGTTGTTGATGAGGTTGGCTCGGTCTTTGTCACTCAGAACATAAGGATTTGCTTTCAACTGCTTGATGAGTGCTTCCCAGTCGTCGTCTGCATAGTGCACGATGTAATAGCCGGTCATGTTTGCATTGACTTTGACCCAGTGCACTTCTTCTGTAAGATTGAAGACATCTAATGGACAATAGGGCAAGAAAAATATTAACTTCAAGGTTCGTATGGTACGTTTTTATAATCATTCTCCTAAAAATCCAACAGCCTGTATTCCCATACAATTCTTTTTGTGCTAACAAAGGTCATCACTCTTTCATTGACCAGTTAGTTATTTCCTGGGCATCACTCTAGGCTGGGCACTGCTGATCAGGTCAGGGTAGAAATGCCTGTGCTTCTGGGACTGGCACTGTGGTTAAGCTGACACCTGCAGCGCCAGCATCCCATGTGGACGTGAATTTAAATCCTGGTTGCCCCACTTTCGATCAAGCTTCCTGCTCATGTGTCTTGGAAAAGCAGAAGATGGCTCAAGTGCTTAGACCCCTGCACCCACAAGAAAGACCAGGAAGGAGCTCTTGGCTTCTGGTTTTGGTCTGGCCCAGTCTTAGTTATTGTGGCCATATGTGGATGAACCAGCAGATGAAATACCTCACTCTCTTTCTCTGCCTCTCTCTGCACGTAACTCTGCCTTTCAAATAAATAAATAAATAAATAAATAAATAAACTGTAAAAAAAAAAAGGCCTCTTAATTGACTGATTTTAGGGTCTAATGTAACCAGTCAAGTATGATGGCATGGAAGTGTCACTTCTGAGAAAACAAAACAGGACATTCAGTGGCAGTAGACAGAAAAACACTTCACTTCCTAGGAAAGGTAAAGGGAGGTTTCTTGGAAGAAATGCGATTCAAGTTACTCTAAAATACTGTAGAACACACAGGTGTCAGCCAAATAGGAGCTGGTGTGGCATAGCACATTAAGCTTCCACTTTGCAATGCTGGAACCTTATCATAGTACGATTAAGGTCCCAGCTACTCTACTCTGAATTCAGCTCCCTGTTAATGTGCCTGGAAAAGCAGCAGAAAATGGCCCAAATACTTGGGTCCCCACCATCCATGTGGGAGACCCAGACGGAGTTCTAGGCACTTGTTTCCACCTGACCCAGACTTGGCTGCTGTGGCCCTTTGGGAATGAACCAGCAGGACTGAATCTCTCTCCTGTCTCTATCACTTGAATGTTCATATGAATCAACCAATCTTGGGAGCAAAAGAAAGCATACAGTGTAGTAGGGACACAAAGGGACAAAAAGAGACATTGTACTTGCTGTGCACATATGGAACTGACTCCTGAGGTCATTATGACTGCAGGAGAGCAGAGAGAAGGCAAAGTGGGTAGCACAAACAAACCCTCTTAGAAAACTCACATATAATTCAAAGGTCACAAAATAAACAAAGGGAAAGTTTAAGATTGAGGCAAAGCTAAGAAATAACTGAGTTAATATAGCAGACCAAACACTGAGCAGGCCCCAACCGTGGCAGAAACAAATGCTGAAAGAACTCCTAGGGCTTTCTACAGATTTGTTTCAACTAAAACAGAAAGAACAAGGAGCCAAGACACATTGGTGAATTTTTAAATCCTTAAAATTGCTAACCAAGGAGAGTCCTTTGAAGCTGAGAGTAAGGCCATGGGTCTAATGCAACAGGGGAAACTTCTATACATCAGGAGGATGACTGGTTTTTGGACGAGAAGCACCAGGAATTTACTATGTTGATATAATGACTAAATAAGAAAAAAAAATGACTATGCCACAGTAAACAGTTTCAAATAAAATGTAAATAAATTTTTCAGATATCTATAATATAATCCCCTCATATTCAAAAATTAAAACTTATAAAAACACTCTTAGTTACAAGTGATAATAGAGATAAGAAAAACAATCTAGCATCCAGGATTGTGGCATTGTGGCAAAGCCTGCAAGGACAGCAATCCACACGTGTAGCAGTTCAATTCACAGCTGCTCACTTTTAATTTAGTCTGCCTCAGAAAGCAGCAAAAGATGGCCCAAGTGCCTGGGCGTCTGCACCCACACAGGAGACCTGGAATAGGCTTCTGGCTACTATGGCCAGCTAGGGAGTGAACCAATGAATGGAGGTCTTGCTCTGTCTCTCCCTCTCACTCTATATAACCCTGTCTATTAAATAAATATATCTTTAAGACAAAGAAAAGTAAGTAATTTAAGCCCCGATGTGAGTGATAACATTTTGGTATATAAATCAGAAGTCTGGAACTCCACCTAACCTCCCATGTCTGTGATATGGACCCAAGTACCTGAGCCATCTTCGATTGCGTATCTAGGCTCATTAATAGGAATCTGAATCAGAAGCAGAGCAACCAGGACTTGAACCAGCCTGTTGGCAACTGGTAGCTTAGCCTGCTATACTACCATGTCACCTCTCTTTAGTATCTTCATTACAATTATACTGATACTGAAAAAGTTGTTTAGAGAGGGGGTAGAAGGAGATGGAGAGAAATCATGCATATGCGCTTGCCCATTCATTCACTCACTCCCCAAATGTCTGCACTAGCTACGATTGTTCTGTGCTGTAGCTGAGAACAGCACACTCAACCCAGGTGTTTCACAAGGGTGGCAAGGACACAACTATTTGGGACATCACTTGGTGCCTCCCAGGATCTGCAGTAGCGGGAAGCTAGAACTGGGAATCAAGCCTAGGTACCCCATCATAGGATGTGGGTATCTTAGCTGTCAGGCTCTGCGAAAGTGAAGATGAAAAAAGACACCTGATCATGTCCTAATCAGACATGCTAGTATAGCCTTTATTACTAAAAATTCCCCACTATTTTCTGATATGCTGCTGGCATAGTACTAGATGGAAAAGATGAATTAGATAAACAGGTTTTTTCCCTTCTCCAGGGCAACAAGCAGTATTAAGGAACAGCTGTCATGGCAACAGTAGCTGTTGCAGTGATTTTCAACAAACCTATTACTAATGCAATTCACTTAATCATCGGTTAATTAAAAATCAAAACGTCAACACTGTTTAGGTCAGTAAACACAATCTCCTACAGAGATTTTCAAAAAAGGACTGCTGGGACCCCCAACGCCTTTCTCTTAGAGAGAGAGAGAGAGAGAGAGAGAGAGAGAGAGAGAGAGAGAGAATGGGAATGAAAGGTACAGCAGTGGTTCCACCAGATGGATGCAAAGAAAGATGCTGAAGAACAGAGATCTTGGCTGAGCAGCAACTTACTAAGCTGCAAGGCCAGCCAAGCGCAGATGGTGGAGAGGAGGAATGCAGCTGGGAGCAAACTTGAATTGTTACTGTCATCAGGACGACAGAACATGAAGCAGTGCAGTCAAAGCCTCAAGACCAAGAAGAACTATCACCTAAAGAATCAAAATCCTAGTCTCTTTCATGTCTTCAGATGACGGAGAAAAGAGGACATTAAAACCACAGGTATAAAAAAATAGCTTTGTACACAAGGGAGGTAATTCTATCCTGTAGCTCAAATGTAGATGAGGTTAACTCCATATGTTTTTAATTTATTACAATCATTAACAGATTAACGGTTAAATTTTCAGTCACTGAGCAGTAAAAAAGTGAGCAACTCTGACCTTAAATGGCAGATGCCCAGATGAAGTAATCCAATGGCGATTTAAAAAAAACATTTATCAATGAGCTATGAAAACCAACTACTGTTTTACAAAGAAACATTATGACAGCTCAACAAAAAAACATGTTTTCACTACAAAGTTACAGAACTTCCTGTCCAGTTTGCTCCCAAGAACCAGAAACACACATGTGCCTTCTCCACTGTTCAAAAGTATTTCCGTTTCTAATAGTCCTCTCTCCTTTATTTGCATAGGAAAAAAAAAGGGCAAGGGCAGAATGTGACACACAATGCATAATATGATTACACGCCCATCCTTCTCTCTACTCCACTGCCTCTCCTTCCAATGGCATCTCTTACTTTCGAATGAAAGTACACAATGAAAATGAAATCCTTTCTGAAACATGAGTATTTCAAGTTAGATCTTATACAAATATACTTGAAGTTAAAGAGCTTAGGTCTGAGCAAGATGTGGCTAAGAGAAAGAGAGGGAGAGAAGAAGAAAGGCAAAAGGGAAATATTTTTTAGTATAATTTTCTCAATTACGTAGCTCAGAAAAAGAACCAGTTCAGCTCTTCTTATGCATAATCAACACTAATTACTCAAATTTCATGTATATGTGGAAAAGTCACAAGTGCCCTGATTCAGTGTAACTTCTATATATGACTGCACTAACGCAGCAACTCTGGAATTAGAATCCATGGAAATGTGGCACAGATTCAACAGTCACCAAAGTGACTAATATTCTATACTAGAGTCACATGGTACAAAGCGGTTGAAGGCAGCCTCTTTATTCTATTTCTTCTGAGAAACAGAAAAAAACGAGAATGTAATTAAGAGTAATTTTCATTGATGCTTTGGAAACCAAGAAAACTCAACTGTGCCCCGAGTTCACCATTTTTGCAAGGACAGAACATTTTCACCATGGGTGCCTCAGACCTGAACTGACAGGAATGCAAACAGCAGCCACAGCAACAGCAAGAGACATAAACCAGCTGAGAAGGACACTGCTTTTATCATACACATTGGTCCAGTTCCAGCTCCAGATTAAAACAATTAGATTATAGTGCATTTGGTATGCTCCCTTTTACTAAGGATCTCTTCAAATAAAGGGGAAATGATGTAATTTTATTAGACTTTTGAGTGAGCTTCCCCTAGAATTTTTTATAGTGATACTTTAAATTGAGTCATTTCATCACAGACTAACTTTTACTCATTCAATAAATCTTTGTGTGCTTACTGAGTGCTAAGTTACAAAAGTCATTCACGAAGACAGGATCCTTACCATCAATGGGATGGACATTAACACACACCCCCATACTATGCTATGAGAATTGCTGTATAATGAAGCATGACTTACATATATTAAAACCTAAGTGGGGCATGTAGCCTGCCTTAGGTTAAAGAAAGGCTTTCTGGGGTGAGCACTGACTGAGCTAAGATCTGAAGAACGAAGAAGAGAAAGATCAGGAGCGTGGGAAGGCTGCGGAATGCCACAGGGAGAGCAAACAGCCCACAAAGGCTCGGAGAACAGCGACAGCCTGGCATGTCTGAGCTGCTCCAAAAACCTCTGCGTGGTGGGAACACAGAATGCCAGGTAAAAACTAAGACAGAGAAGCTGAAGACTGAAAAGTATGAGCTAGCACAGGGGGTATGAATCTTAAAAGCTCACTTGCAGGCTGAGTTAAATAATAAAGAGATACAAGCACATTTCTTCCTATCCAGTTGTTTCTAACGTCAGCAAAAGCTAACATGCTATCAGGAGGTTTCACGTTTTCCTTTCAAATGTTCCAGCTGTGGTCAGCCTGTGCTATAGGATATAAAGAGATCAGGTTACCTGTTCTCTCTTGAGTCAGAGATTTCCTGTGCAGGGACCACTTACTACTCTTGAAGTTTAGAGTTTTCTCCCAAGAAGAAAATCCCTGGGAGTGTACATCACGATGTAGGTGGGGTTAGCTGCTGCCAGGGATGCCTAATGCTGTTATTACAGTGCCAGCTCCAGGGCTGGCTGCTCTGCATCAGATCTAACTTTCTGCTAATGCACATTATAAGGAGATGCAGATTACTTTGTAATTTGAAATGCGTATCCAGAACATATAAATATATCATTGGCTATTTTTTTTTTTTAATCAAGACTGTCAGCACATTCTCTGCAACTTTTTGAACTTTTCTTCATAGGAGGTAAAGGTCACTTTTGTGCACGACATGGAAACAATTTTACTGTAGTTGCATCTTAAACAAGTAATTCATAAAACCATTTCAAGAGTATAATGGTAAGTGCAAACTCTTATCTGTTCTTTGGTGAGAATGGTGCCATTCTGCCAGTTCCAGTTTCTGAAGAGAAAAGAACTAATTATGGTCAAACCTGATGCTTTGTCCAGTAATGACACAAACTGGTATTCTGAGCAGTTTCTTCCATCAGTAACATAGGTTAGTGGAATATGCCACAGGTAGCTGTAAAGAAAATATTGGAGGATTACTCCTTTTTTTTGTTTGTTACATACGATGTATTTTTAGTTTTTTGGCAAAAAAGTGAAAATTTTAATGCATTTCCAGAAAGAGGTCATCTTACTAAGACTCATAAGGATTTATGACTAGAATACGTTTAAAAATACCATAGCCATGGTGGACTGTGGTGTAGTGGGTAAAGCCACAGCCTGTGGTGCCAGCAATCTGAAATGGGTACCACTTCACTTCTTGACTGCTCTATTTCCAATTCGACTCCCTCCTAATTTGTCTGGGAAGAAAAAGGAGGACCTTGGCCTCTGTACCTATATGGGTCCTAGAAGAAGCTCCTGGCTTGGTTTGGGCCTGGTCCAGTTCCAGCCATGAAGACCATTTAGGGAGTGAACTAGTACATGGAAGATCTTTCCAACTCTGCCCTTCAAATTAAATAAGTAAACCTTAGGGAAAAAAAACCAAAAAACAAAAACAAAGTAACCCAAGATGTGAAAAACATAGTGTGGAAAGAAACAGACATGCACCTTGTATCTGAAGGCTGAGTTTCAGGATTCATATTTAAAAAGAATCTCTCCTGTTTTACAAAAATTTCCTTCCCTTTCCTTTGAACAGTTACCAAAGGAAATCCTTTCTGCAGGGTCCAGGACTTCATGATTTTCTTTACATCTAACGTTCCATTTGTGACCTGCAAAAAAAAAATTATTTTTGATTAAATATAAAAATTAGGAAATTTACATTCTGATTTGTATCCAGCTCTACCTTCCCTATTGCATTCTAAGAAGACTGCTTACAGTATTAATATAGTTGAGAAGCAGTACTGCTGAACTGGGCTCACATTCTTACCAGGTAAATGAGTATCTGCTAAAAGGAAAGAACTCTGGCACGATACCCAAGAGTGTGATAAATTACATGCTGAAAAGTAACACCTGTGATATTAACTAAGAACTTATTAACATTAAAATCCCAAAGATAGCATAATCTAAAAGAGCATCAGTACTCTGAGGCCACAACACCATTAGAAGGGGCACCTAATGGCAGGCTAAACTAGAGTTGGAAGCACTGCCGCTGAACCCGGCCGATCTACTCAGCCACGGTTTCTCTTGTGCTACCACTGGCTGCTTCACAAAAGTTCAATCTAGAGACTCAGGCTGGGGAGTACCAGGAGGCAGCAACAGCAACTGAAGAAACAGGTTAGTGGCCTTAATGTCAATTCTCCTGGGACAACAGAGGTAAACTTCTGATAGTCGCAGAACTTCTCTCCCAGAAGAAACATCAACTTCCTGAAGGCCCTGCAGAGCTCACTGCCCTAGCATATCCAGTATCAATGATGAAGAAGCAACTTATGAGCAACTTTCCCATTGAAGTAGGTGAGTTGAGGTTTTGATTGAAATTATTTTTCTAGGTGCCAACCCAGTGGCTCAACAAGCTGACTCTCCACCTGCAAGTGCTGGCATCCCACACACGCTGGTTTGTGTCTGCTGCACTGCTTCTTTCCGGCTCTCTGCTTCCAGCCTGGGAAAGCAGCAGAGGATGGCTCAGGTCCTCAGGCCAGGCACCCACGTGACAGACCCAGAGGAAGTTCCTGCTTCAGAATGGCTCAGCTCTGGCCATTGCAGCCATTTGGGGAGTAAAGCAACAGATGAAAGATTCTCTTTCTTTATTCTTTCTCCTCTCTGTAAATCTACCTTTCAAATAAAAATAAGTAAATCCTTGAAAAAAAAAAACAAATTATTTTTCCAGATTACATATGGATAAGAGTTGAAAGCATCTAAGTCATCATGTCCCTTAACTGATAATCACTCCATTACTGGGTTGGGCCTTAGCGCAGTCACCACATGCTACTTATTTAAAGTATAAGTAAATGGGGTCCGGCAGCATGCCTAGCAGCTAAAGTCCTCGCCTTGATTGCGCCGGGATCCCATATGGGCGCCGGTTCTAATCCCGGCAGCTCCACTTCCCATCCAGCTCCCTGCTTGTGGCCCGGGAAGGCAGTCGAGGACGGCCCAAAGCTTTGGGACCCTGCACCCGCATGGGAGACCCGGAAGAGATTCCTGGTTCCCGGCTTCAGATCAGTGCAGTACCAGCCGCTGCACTCACTTGGGGAGTGAATCATCGGATGGATGAAAGATCTTCCTTTCTGTCTCTCCTCCTCTCTGCATATCTGACTTTGTAATAAAAAATAAATAAATCTTAAAAAAAAGTATAAGTAAGTGGAGTAAACTTCCCAAACTCATTGAGATATTAATCTTGCATTTGTAATGGTTCTAACCTAATTTCTTTCTGGATCAGAGGCTGAGAAAACAAGCTTACCAAAAGCAATGGTTTTTGGGTATCTGAGGCACTACCAACATGTAAAGGCAACCAAATACTCTGATGTGGGTGCTGAAAAACCCAATAATGTTAGGGGCCAGGGTAGGACAGGACAACACCATGATGCAAAAGTGTGGTAAAGCAGGAGCTGACACAAGTATAACTAACCATGGCTTTTTACGGAAGTGCTACACCGTGATCCAAGAAACAATGACTTAGAAGCAGCAGCGGGGGCCTAAGGACCAAGCTCTCCCCTCGGGAAGGGGCAACTGCTGGAAAATCCCAGGGATCAGAGAGACCACATGGAGAAGGCCTTGAGCAGGGCTTCCTGATTCTGCACTCACAAAACTCTGCAATTCTCAGTGTGGTTTTTCTGGCAATTATGGCCAGCACATCCATCAGATTCGCAAGTCTGATATATGACTGTAACCTTCAAAAGCATGAACCAGGGTCTCAAACTAAAGTGCTTTATCAGGTTTGTGTGGCCAGCACACACGAGGCAGGCTGGGCTCAGCGATGCTCTGCAGTGTGGCTGCCTCCTCACCAGTCCTGCTGGCCTAGCAGAAGCCAGACAGTGCAAGCACCCAAGGGCATCTCCTGAGGGCGCTCTGAAACAGGTCATCTACTCAAGAGGGTCAGGAGACTCGAAGACAGACTCATGAAGGGGAGGTAGAAAAAACAGGAAACAAACATAGAAAAAGAAGCCTTTGGACAAGAAATTACAAAACAAAATAAGTAATATTCACGGATACAGAAAAGCTAACTTCTTCCCTAACGAAACTGGCAAGGAGAGTAAGGCACATGATGAAAATGGCCCTCCAGGGCTGCTGTGCTTCTTTCAGCAGCAGGAACCATACTTCACTTTCCGACTCAAACTGGGTGATCTGATACAGCACCTACAACCTGAGCGCTGTGCCCTTTCTTACAGAAACAGTCTTGGTATTGTAGACTCGGTGACATATGTGATAAGAACAAGACCCCTACTGTTGTCCTGTAAGAGGTGCACAATGCATCCTGAACACTCACCTCATTAAAACTACTCCACAGATCATCACTTTGGATGGATGCATAGCTGTGATTATGCAGGTAAAGAATAATCACGTGCTGGAACACGGCCTCGCTAAGATAGGTCTTCAGCATCAACAAGAGAGAGGCTCCCTGTTGTAAAAAACAGAGAGAGAAGAGGGGAAAACATAATTAAAGGTCACAGAGTTATGAACCTAAAAATCAAAATATGCCGATTATCCTACACACACACCTCCACACAGAGAACTCAACTGTAACACACTGTCATTTAGTCTCAGCGTGATGTAGACCATGTCCAAATTGTGTAAAATTATTTCAAGGGACGTGAGAAAAGAATTAGCGAAACAGATGTACATGTGTGCTAATCTTACTAACCTGTGTGGTTTGCCTGTGGATGTACTGTGTCAGTCAGTGTTGGTGTTGAAAAACTACGTACTTCCAATAGAAAAACAAGCCACATTGTCTGTGGCTTCCCCTGCTCCACCCCCACCCAGTGCTACAGGTACCAGTTTGAATTCATGGACATGCACTGCTGAGACACAATGAACTGGCAGAGCTCTCCAAGACTCCCTTGTGGGTGACCCAGGACTCTCCAGTTTAGTACAGGGCGTTGTTGAAGTAAGCAGGAACTCTCTTCTTCCTACACACTCACTTGGAGTCCATTTGGAGCTAATGAAAGCCCAGGGCAGTAGGCATGCACCTGCTGGCACCAAGCTGCATCACTCATGTGCACATCCTCACTCTCAAACAGGAAACAATCACTTCCTCTGGGAAGCCTCTCCCGACTCAAAACAGCAATCACACTTTCCATCTTCAGTATTTCTCACTTCCTGTATCTCTACCACGTTTGCTTGCTGTCTTAGACTGTATGTTAGTTGAGGGAAAAACTGAAAAGCTCAACTAGAATTAAAACAATGCCTGTTACAATGTCTTCTAGTAGGCATTCAAGCAGTTTCTGAATGCCACTTCTGATAAAACCTCAGCATTTTAAGTCATCCACAGCACACGTAGCTTAAATATCTATTATTCACCTGTTTCTGTACACTTCATAACTACCCCTTGCTCTGCAAATTTTACCACTCTTTCTTAATCTCAATAAGCTCTCCTCTCCTGTATCACCAACTTTGTACTGTAAAATTCCCATCAACGAAACAAAAATCAATTACATTCATAATTCCACACAAGATTTCCAACTTTTCCTTACCTTTAGTTTTCTCTATCTTGTTTCTTTTCTTAATTTATTTTTATTTGAAAGGCAGATTTTAGAGATAAAGGAAAGTGACAGAAAAGGTCCTTCATCTGCTGGTTCACTCCTCAAATGGCTGCAACAGCTAGAGCTGAGCTGATCCAAAGCACATTCGTTAAAATGTGCTGATGAACTTGATGTGGAATGTTAGAGAGGAATGAAAGACAACTTTTGGGATTCTTGCTTCTAAAACCAGAAAATGGAAGTGGCCATTTGCTGAAATGGAGCAGACTACTGGGATAGATTTAGCTATACTGGTCAGATAGCTTCCTGCTAATGTGCACCCTGGGAGTCAGCAGATGATGGCTCAGATGGGTCCCTTCTATACCTGAGGGAGTTCTGGGCTCTTGCATTTGCCCAGGCTCAGCCTGCCTGTCATGGGTATCTGAGGAATGAACCAGCAGATGGACGATCTCTCTGCATCTCTGTCTTTTAAATCAAATGAAAATAAACGTGGCATTTTCTTTGTCCCTCTCATTTCCCTTGCTATCCTTCAGTTTCCTCTTAGCCATTACAATCTAACATAACATCTACATACTAAGCGTACAGTGTCCATCTCTCGTTATGACTCCTGAAATGGAAGCTCCGAGGACCAGGCAAAGCCCATCTTCACTGTGACATAATGCTGCATGGTGTGTGCCTGTGAGATGGACTGAACGTGTGAAGTCTCACAAGACACCCTGCACCGGGGCTGCTGCTGTGAGGCTCCCTGACAATCGGGCTCCGATGCAGAATACAAACTCTGCCGCCTCCTCTCCCTGCACTGCCCTGCAATCTCCACATTCCTAAGAACTCCGCGCACTCCTTCTCTGTGTCCTTCCACCCCCACTCCCACTCCTCATTTCAAACTTGCACCACTTCATGTCTGCACCTGAGCAGCAACTTCCTCATTTTAGTTCTTTCACATCACTTAAATTTACTTTCTAAACTGAAACCAAGCTGATTTTCCTAACCAGCAAATTCAATCAGCTCATTCTTCCGTTCAAAAATCTTCCAAAACTTTGTGTTCGTTGTAGAAAAATGTCTACATGCCTTAGACCTTCTACAATGGGGCTCCACCCTACCTTTCTCATCTCTCTGCACTAGCCCACACTCAGCTCCTACTGTGAATACTCTTATCCAAGCACACACACCTTACCGGTTCCTACTATTCCTTTGCAGACCTCAGATTTCATGCCTGTCTTTCTCTATTCTTTCAATCCCCGTTCACCTATAATTTACATTTTCCTGCAAAATCATTCTCTTCCTACACCCAGCTAGAAATTCCCCATACCATCCATCTGGCACAATTACTTCTCTTCTCCAGTACCTGCCACCTCAACACTGAGCTTTCTGATCACACAAATTCAAACTAAAACACTTTATGCATTATCTCCTTTATCTAGCAGAGGAATTCAACTAATTAAACCAATGAGTCTGATCTCCACGAGAAGCAGATAGGTAAGCCACAAGCCCAACGTGAATGTCATGGGTACCCCTACTCCTCTTCTGCGTGATCCTGACAGCATCTCCTATGGTGACCCTAAGAGGTTTCTCATTTTCTGTTAGCCCCACAGCTGGATTCTTTGCCTCTGACCCTGCAATCACATCTTCAAGTCTTAACACTGTTCTCTGGCTTACCTGATTTGGCAATCATAACTTTAGAACATCTCTTCCTTCAGAATAATGTCAAGGGCTGGCTTAGGAGCCTTCTCTGTGGGTCTAGCATGATGGTCTAATGATCAAATCCTCACCTTGCATCCACTGGTATACCATATAGGCGCCAGTTTGTATCTCGGTTGCTCCACTTTCCATCCAGTTCACTGCTTGTAGCCTAGGAAAACAGTAGAAGACAGCCCAAAGCCTTGGAGCCCTGAACCCACATGGGAGACCTGGAAGAGGCTCCTGACTTTGGATCAGCTCATCTTTCTTATCTCTGGACTTTGTGGCCACTTGGGGAGTAATGCAACAAATGGTTCACTCCCTGTCTCTCCTTCTCTCTGTATATCTGTCTTTCCAATAAATATGTTTTTATTAGAAAATCAAATATACAAAGAGGAGGAGAGACAGAGAGGAGGATGATCTGATTCACTACCCAAGTGGTCGCAACAGCCAGAGCTGAGCCAATCTGAAGTCAGGATCCAGGAGCTTCTTCTGGGTCTCCCACAAGGATATAGGGTCCAAAGGCTTTGGGTCATCCTCCACTGCTTTCCTAGGTCACAAGCACGTTGCAGGATGGGACGCGGAGCCACTGGATTTAGAACTGGTGCCCATACGGGATCCTGGAGTGTGCAAGACGAGGACTTTAGCTGCTAGGGTACCACGCCAGGCCCCCAATAAATTAAATCTAAAAAAAAAAATCTCCTCTACATATATCCTACTTACATATATCTGGCAGTACACCAATTTTCGGAAATTTTCTGCCATAAAATGTGGTTAACTGAGTGGAATACTCTGCATTTTATTTTTAAAGATTTATTTTTATTATTTTTTGATTGGAAAGGCGGATATACAGAGAGGAGAGACAGAGAGGAAGATCTTCCGTCCGATGATTCACTCCCCAAGTGAGCGCAACGGGCCGATACTATGCCGATCCGAAGCCAGGAGCCTCTTCCGGGTCTCCCACGCGGGTGCAGGGTCCCAAAGCTTTGGGCCGTCCTCGACTGCTTTCCCAGGCCACAGGCAGGGAGCTGGAAGGGAAGCGGGGCTGCCGGGATTAGAACCGGCGCCCATATGGGATCCCGGGCGTGCTAGGCGAGGACTTAGCCACTTGCGCCACCGCGCCGGGCCCGAATACTCTGCATTTTAAAAAGGAACCGAGTTAGAAAAAAAATAAGACCAAGATTCAGAGTTAAGTACCAAAACATTTGAAAGTTAACAGGATGTCTGAAAGTAAGTCTTATTTAATCTTTGAAATAATCTAAATCACGTATCTTCCTTACATTTGCAATTTTAAATCTACTCCAGGCACTTCCTTGTATATAGCAGTACCTTAAAATAGGAAAGAGAATCAAACATTTCTTCAATTTGTTCTGAAGATTGAACAGATGATGATATTGGGTGAGATGAATTCAAGGAGTCCTTCTTCATGGTTTTAAATCGAGCATCCAGGAAATCTTCATACTAGCAAAAACCCAAACAGAGTAGGAGATCACAAACAGAAGCAAAGGCCGAAATCAGTGTTTATTGGATATTACACAAAAAGAAACAAAAATCAAACTTCAAACTGTAAGCTTTTGGAAATACAGGAATGCTGTGAGCTTCATGTGTACTCTTTAAATTAAAGCACACAACGATATCCTGCCCACAGGAATATCAGCAGTTCCTAGCCAACAGCATGAGGGTAAATTTTACTAAAATAAACACATGCCAAATTGGATAGCCAACAGAAATACTCTAAAAAGTTAATGTAGATTTTAAAAACAGCAATCAAAATTAGGAAAAGAAGACCAAAAACTGATCCTACAGGTGATTTTTCATAAACAAGGCCTGGTTCTCTATTCAGCTAATAAGAGAATGTTCTTCAAAAAGTTCACATAAAATAAATCTCATGAAAAAAAATGTACTCCAAAATTTTTCTGCATCACAATAAACCTAATGGTTCCACTGTCAGACACAGTTTTAAAGTCCACACATCTGCATTCCTCTTAGCGTAAAATCTAACCGAGGCACAAAGAACTGTTTTAGCTCAGCAAAGGCGCTCCCCAGGAACACGCAGGTTTTGAGAGCTCAGCAGAGCGCTCCCCAGGAACACGCAGGAGATGTTTTTAAACATTCCGGGCACCACCCAGTGGTGAACCTGTGTATCTCACTGCTGAGTTAGGCAGCGTACGCAGGGGAAGAACATCTTGCTTAGGACCGTAGCTCAATAGTAATTCTGCTAGTGCATGAAATTTTTGAACCAGCCCTAGAAGTACTGCATTAAAGCAGCCGTGGATCATCTCTCTGGAAAGTTTAACACAAGCCACAGAATCTCAGGGCTGATCTTTACTTTGCTGAGCACCTGAATTAATTTAGGAAGTATCTGTCGCATCACGATCTGATGTGTCTGAACTGCCCTAGGGTCTGACACCAGTGACAGACCTGTATTACGCAGCTCCGTAATACAGTGTGACTCCAAATCTTTGGGAAAGGACACAAAACACAGCTTTATTAAGGAAGGCAAATTATTTGGATTTATCTATGAACAACTGTATACTGTGATAGCAGGACAGTATTGTGGATGTATTCTCTGATAAGAGAAAGAAAAACTCACTAATTTAAAAAATACATACAAAGTTTAAAGAACTGCAAAGCAGCCTTTCTGACCTAATCTGTACTTTCTCCAAACATAAGGGTCATATCTGATAAAAATACAATGCAATTGAGTAATTTAAAATAGTCACCTTAATAACAAAAATATGAAGCAATCCACATAATTTCGATTTTTAACAAAATACATGAATAAACAAAATGATAATTTTCATTATCAATTCTGAATGATGGACTTATCAGAGGGGTCAATTTTATTATACCTTTCTAGAAACATTTTTATTTCCCAACTGCACAGGAAAAAAGCAGCAAATATTATTTGACCATTTTACCTCCTAGTATTCATAGCAAGCCGAGAAATACTATACTTACACTGGAGAGCTCTCTGAATATTTTTTCCAAAGAGAAATATTCCATAAAGGTGGCAAAACCTTCATTTAGCCATAGATCATTCCACCACTGCATTGTAACCAAATTACCAAACCACTGCGGAGGGAGGAGGAAAACAAACTATTAAGTAGCAAAATATTTACATTCTCAGGAATTTTCAGAATAATTGCCCATAAGAAAAAAAACAAAATCTTAAAAACACACAGGTATAGTAGTTAAATAAAACTAAATTCAAATTAAGTGAAGAGTGCCAAAAAGTGTATACATTTATTTTTAACTTAGATGGGGAAAAATTAACATATTGTTGGCACATTTATTAATTTAACATACATGCTGGAGAAATGAAGATCTTTTTAGTCACTTCAAACAAGTGACAGAATCTAGATCTGAAAATTCTTTACCTTATAATACCAATTTAGTAAGATTATTTTCCATTGTATCTACAACTAAAAGGATAAGCGTCTATATGAGACATTTTCTTATTATTAGAGTTTCTACTTCATGTTTCTTGTCAGTTATGTTGATCCAAACCTTAACCAATATGCCATTAGAACGTTTCCATGGATATTCAAAAATGAAATTTAAAAAGCTGTCATTATTCTTTTCCATAAGGTAAAAGAAAAAAAAAGATATTTCTCCATTAAAAGATCTCAGAAATTCTTAAAATAAGTGGTTGTAGGTTATAAAACTCAGTGTGCCTAGAGCTTATGTCAAATTAACAACAAAAGACAGGGTGACAAGATATTGAAATAAAATGCCTTACAGAGTTACAAGGGCACATTTTTCTAAGATATGACCTTAAAAGCTGCTTCAGAGGAGGATGGTAAGTTTTTAAGAAGTGAGGGGTGATGGTTGGCCTGAGAAGTAACAAACTTCTAAAGGACAGCCCCCCAAAGTCAGCCGTTTAGAACAGCCACCACTTGTGCACACGCCAGCTGGTCGTGCGCACTTGGGTGGGCAACATGGCAGCCTGAGGGTGGGTGCAGGTGCAGCAGTGGCCCTTGCATCCTGCTACTTGAACAGCAGCCATCCCTGACTCTGCCAAGCCCTCACGCGAGGCATGAGAGACAAGGTGTGGGGCAGGTTGGGGGGGTATTGCTGGGGGCCCAGGATGCCCAAGTGAGTTTGTCCCCATGTCTTGCAGAATACCCTTACCCTCTTCTAGAGAATCCAGTTCTAGCAAGAGAGAAATTAGATCCTGTCCAACAAGAGGTATCACAAGAGAATGTAACTCAGGAAAAGGACACTTTCCCACAAAATTATACCAAGCAGCCGGCATCTGTCAGAGGTAAAGAGCTGCGAGTCATTAGAGGCGGGGAAAGAGGCCTCCAAGAGACGGGGGCTCCCCAAGGCCCAGTAGAGCTAACTGGTGGTACAACTTTGCACAGTAATGCAAGCTTGGGCTCAGTTTCCACAACTAGTTTCCACAACTACTAGGTGGGATTATCATTTAACTAAGAGATTCTGGAAAGTGATTTCATGGATGTAAAAATGCTTTAAAGGCCTATACAAACATAACATTTTCACCAGAAATATAAGTTCTTGCTAAATCATCTTTTTTATGATGAAAACGCTATCATCTCTCTATATTTTCTAATATATATATATATTCTAAAACTCCACAACACAGTGTCTATTAATACAAGCACCTACATGTAGGCTAACACTCTAGAACAGCGTTTACTAATACTGGCATCTAAATAAATGGCAGCCCTCCAGAACATACTATTAGCAGCAGCTACGCACAGCTAACTCTCTGAGAGACCACAAGACTAGAGGCTAGCAGCCTTGCCTGCCATTACCTGATGGGCCAGCTCATGAGCGATGATCTTAGTGACCAGTTTTCTGTCCGCCACAGAAGAGGTGTTATTGTCGTAGAGAAGCGTCTCTTCTCGGAAGGTGAGCAAACCCCAGTTTTCCATCGCTCCTGCTTCAAAGTCAGGAATAGCCACGAGATCTGGACAGAGCAAAGCAGTGTCACCCCCCTCACATGAGGCACCTCCAGGAAGACCAGACGCCTTGCCCTCTGTGTCTCCCCGGGAGGGCAGTGAGCTCCTGCTCTCTCCAAACTAAGCTCTGCACGCCCCTCGCCCACCCACCAGCTGAGGGAGACCCTGCCTCACTCAGCGTTTCCCTGTCCCTAGTCAGAGACAAACATGTCCTTCCCAGAGAGAGGACGAGCTCCGAGGACCAGCTCCATGCTGAGCGGCCTCCTGTGGCCTTCCTGAGCTCCCACGCCCAGGTTTCTATGATTCCACTAGGATTTTTTCAGAGGGCACAAATAGTCAGACTTCAGACTATATTTAGACTAAGGCTAGGCAAATCTTTACTTATCTGACACTGCTGTGAAAACCACATAAACTTCTCAGTGGGGCTTTTCCCTCCATTTTATTTGAAAGAGAAAGATGAAAGATACCCATCTTTCATCCACTGAGTCACTCCCCAAAAGGCCCCAAGAGTCAGAAGGATGAAGCCAGTATCCCCATCGGGCTCTCCTGTGTGGGTGGCAGGGGTCATCTTCTGCCGTCTCCCTTAGGACCAGCCGGATCGGAAGCAGAGTAGCTGGGACTCAAACTGGCACTCTGATAGCAGATGCCAGTGGCTGCTTAACACTCTGTGCCACAACACTCGCCCCAATTTTTAAAACATAAACAATGCTTGTTGATTAAAACAAGACAAAGAAAAAACTTACACATAAAGCTCTTTGTAACTAGGCTATAACTGTAAAAGTCAGAGGCACTGTTTGATCCTCACCCAGTTTCTCAAGTGGATATTGAATTTCAAAGTAGTTTTGATAAAACTCAAGCAGCTTCACGGCCGTTTCCAAGGCGTGCTGAACTTGACCGATCTTTTCTGGTACTGCATAGACAGAGACCTAAGGGGAAATACGTGTAACGTAAGGACGTGGTCAAATGAGCTCTGCTAAGACCAGCATATCTGACAACTTTCATGGCGGAAATTCTTGCTCCTGACTTTTTCAGCCACCAGTGTCCCTCTAACTCTCCGCTCCAAGTACAGCAAATCCTTTCTACACACATAGTGATATTACAAGATTTTAACACTCTCATTTTCTTAAGCTAAGATAACATTCAGAATAAACTATTTTTAGAAAGATTTTATTTTTATTTTAAAGTCAGATATACAGAGAGGAGGAGAGACAGAAAGCAAGATCTTCCGTCCGATGATTCACTCCCCAAGTGGCTGTAACGCCTGGAGTGGAGCCGATCTGAAGCCAGGAGCCAGGAGCCTCTTCCGGGTCTCCCACATGGGTGCAGGGTCCAAAGGCTTTGGGCTGTCCTCAACTGCTTTTCCAGGCCACAAGCAGGGAGCTGGATGGGAAGCAGGGTTGCTACGGTTAGAACCGGTGCCCATACGGGATCTTGGCACTTGCAAGAGGAGGACTTTAGCCACTAGGCTACCATGTTGGGCACCCAAAATAAACTATTTTGGGTCGTTTTATAACACATCATTAGCATTTATTTCCTTTTCTCTTTTTTTCCCCATTACCTACAGCTGTTCTTAGTTTTATGTTACAAAGACTGTGGATTAACAGATGGTCAAAGCTGAATTTTAATTCATGTAACACCTGTCACTGGGCCTGGAAGGTAATTGGTACACAACAGATAGTACCATTCTGATTAGGACTAACCGGTGACATAACTGCAGCTCGATAATCCAACCCTTCTGAAAATCATCTGTTCATCAGCAACACGACACTGGTGCTTCCCCTCTCACCCAGTTTCCAAGGTGGAAGAACCATGTTTATAAATGAGTGTGTAGGGTGGCTGCTGGTACAAAGGGCAGCTGCATACGTTATGTTCCTCCTTTTCCTCATATAAATTGAGGACGTTAGTAAAATATCTATTTGTACAATGTTAACTTTTTTGAAACACATCTATTTCAGACACCATTAGAAAAAGTAATTTCCATCTGCAGACATGTAACCTATCCAGGAAAAACAGTGTTCAAGCTTTAGACTCGTATAACTGTGTGTGTAAATACACGAGTACACATATATACGGTTTTGTGTGACTATATCTAAGTGCCTGCATGCAAGTTTAACAATCTTATCCATTCTCTAAGAAGAAACTCAATCAGGACTTGCTTTCTTCTTCTTCTTCTTCTTTTTAAAACAATGCATTCAGGTACTTTTTACAATCTGGAGCTACCACTGGGTAGAGCTATCATATGGTAGTCACATACACAACTGATAGGCTCCAAGCAATGGCTCAATGCCTAAATCATCCTCTTGCAAGTGCTTGGAGCCCAAACGGGCACTGGTTTGTGTCCAAGCTGCTCTGCTTTCCATCCAGCTCCCTGCTTATGCCCTGGCAAAGCAGTGGAGGATAGCCCAAAGCCCTGGGACCTTGCTTCCGGGAGGGACAGCTGGAAGAAGCTCCTGGCTTTGGATCAGCTCAGCTCTGGCCTTTGCAGTCATTTGTCTCTCCTTCTCTCTATAAATCTGATCCACAGATTTCCAATACAAATAAATTTTAAAAAAATACTGATAAGTTGAGGTGTGATTAGTGAGACTGACGATGCAAGCTATGTTCTATTTCATTTTCTTTTTAAGGTTTATTTGAAAGAGAAGTGGGGAAGGGGAAGTGGGGAATGGGGAAAGAAACAGAGCTCTTCCATCTGCTAGTTTACTTCGCAAATGCCATAACGGCTAGAGCCGAGCCAGGCCAAATCTCTCACGTGGGTGGCAGGAAACCCAAGTACTTGGACCACCACCTGTTGCCTCCCTAGGCACACTGTCAAGAGCTGGATCAGAAGCAGGGGATGGAATTAGGACTCCAATCAGCTCTTCAATATGGGACTGAGATGTCCCAAGCAGCACTTTAACCTGATCACCCCAATTTTAATTAATTTAAATCTAAATAATCATAGAAGGCTAGCAGCCACCATATCACACAGCATATTTCTAGAAGCTTTAGTATACACGTACAGGGGCAAGTCAAAAAGCTCATTGAAAATATGAATTAAAAGAACAAGTTAATTTTGGGTCAAAAAAGTTTAAAATTCATGTTTTCCCATAATACACATTTTTAGGAACTTGTTGAAGATCCCTATTACATGATTTCACAAGTTTCTTGAACCAAAATTATCTTTAGTTCCATTCTTTCATTTTTTTAAACAACAACTAATTTGTGCAACTGTTTACATGAATTGCTTTTGCTTTTAATTAATTCAAGATGTAGAGAAAGAGAATGATAGCAAGCTTCCTAAATGTCGGCTTGGACTGGAGCAGAGGCAGGAACACAACACACTCTCCCACACGCACAGTTGGAACCCAATGTCCTGAGCCATCACCTACTGTCTCCAGGAGCCTGAACAAGGGCTGGAACTGGAAAGTAAACTCCAGCACTTCCATGTGGCATGCAGACATATTAACCACTAGGTTAAAAGCTTGCCCGGCCACAGAGTTTTTGAAGTACCCTTGTCCTATTATTGTCCTATCAAAATTCTTCAGTAGTTAAGCAACAAAGTAGCAATTCTGGTCTACCTGCTTCCTCCCAAGGCCATTGCCCAGAATCATCAGAGTGGGAACTGCAGGCTGCTCTGGACCACCACTGCACCACATACCAGGGTCCCGTTCATGTCCTGACTCAAGTTCCTCAGCTCTCCCACGATGAAGGCGACCAGATAGGTGCTCATCTTCACACTCTCAGCAAACTCGTCCTGAACAAGTCCGTCTCCCATGAGCACAGATGACTTCTGCAAGCCAAGGGGAAAGACCAGGGCTCTTTAACTGGAGGGACATATGACAATGGCAAACTGAGAAACAAAGTTGCAACAGGAGGTAAGTAATGAAGATGCCAACATACTCCAAACCCTGAGCATGAGTCTGCAGGGAGTCCAGCCCTGAGGCTCAGTCTGTCCCACCCTCCTTCAACATGAGGACACACTAAGCACAGGGAAATCATGAAGCAGTTTTTATTCCCAAAGGTGGTGTTAAAACAAATGCACATGAGGGACAGTAAGTGGTAGCAGCTGTTTCCCATCTTTAAAGCGCCACAAGCCAATTTGCCTCTCGGGATGCAGGAGTGTCCTCCACCGTGCACCAGGCACACCCGCACAGGGAGCCATCACTGGAGACACCTGCCAGCATTCTGAAGCAGCTTGTCAGCAGTGCCTTTAGGGAGTCCAGCCAACCTGGGAGGCCTTCACAGCAGAAGCCACCAGAGGAGGCTGCAGCAAACACAGGTAAGGGAATGCAGTCCACACTGCAGGCTAGTCCAACCCTGAAGTAAGCTGTGTCTGGGATGCCAGACATATAGGTACCCGCTTCTCTCAGAGGAAGACTAAAGGGGAGAGTGTGGCTAGAGTGAAGCTGTTGTATGCTAGCCCATTTTAGGACCACAAAGTCTGCTGGAGGCAGGGCTGACTCCATAGCCTGCTGGGCGTGGCTGCTCCCCTGTCTTGGCTCAGCAATTCTAGCGGCTCCTGTTAGGCTGCACATGGCTCCTCAAGTGTCTGAGACAACAGAAGCACCCCTCGGCTCTGTCTGGTGTAGAAACAACTCTCCTTGGTTTCACCTGCTGCCCCGGCACTGCTATCACCCCAAGAGACTCCTGTTCTTACTGTCTACTTACAAGCTACAGGATTGATTTTGCATCTGCCAGTAAACACCAGCACCATCACGGCTCAACACTATCAAGCACTGCTGTTTAGAATGGCAGGCTCACTGCACCTCAGAAAATGCCACTCTCATTTTGTATTGGCTCACAGGACTCATATTTGCACAACCTTCATTCACAGTGCACACTGCCCATTTCCTGCCCACAGGCGCAAGAGTTCTCTCTTTCCTCAAGTGCTTCAGAGGCTGATTTCCCAACCAATCTTAAGTATTCTGGGAAAGAACACTAATGTAAATGATTATAGTCATGCTAAAAGGGTGCCTGGCAAACAGGAATTCAGTGTTCACAGATTTGCCATCAAGAAGAAGAGTACCTTAGGCATGTTTGATAAAGCAGTATACTGTGCATTCCTTACGATCCTGATGATAAATGTGGCTTTAAATGCTGGTTCATCAAAACAGGGAAAAGCAGATCTTGCTGCTAGGGGTTCAAACTGAGTTGCCGCGAAGTACCTAAAACACAAATTTAATCCAACAGTTATTCAACACTTCCTGAATAAACAGGCACTCTGCCCTAGTATCAGGGATATGAAGGTAAGCAGAGTAATCCCCGTCATTCATAGTTACCTAGGAGAGGCAGAGGTTTATGCAATGAGTAGGAACTTGGGTCAGGCTGCAAATCATGTCCTAACAGTGGAACAAAGCATAACAAACAAATTCTGACTAACAGTTAAAGCAATATAACAAAAATACTAGCACAAAAATCTTAACAGGACCTTAAATGAGGAGAATACTTGGAAAGACAGAGAAGGGAAGAAAGAACACTCCAGAAAGTGTGAGCAGCACATGCCCAGGGACTTGGGATGGCACAGTAGGTTATGCCACAACTTGGGACTCCTGCACCCTCCATCAGTGTCCCAGCTGCGTCACTTGAATTCCTGTTAATGCACCTGGGAAGGCAGATGATGGCCCAACATCCAGATGGGTTCAGACCTGGATGGAGTTCCTGGCTCATGCATTCAGTCTGACTCAGCTGAGCATGGGAGATTCTCTCTCTCTAATGGACAATCAATAAGGGTGATCATTAATTGCCACTAATAATCTGTTCAATTTTATCTGAGAGCAGAGTTACAGAGAGAGAAGTAAACACATACATACACACACACCTACATGCACGTTTACTCTCCTAAGGACTGCCAACAACTGGAAATAGGCCAAACCAAAGCCAGGAGCTTCATCCATGTGGGAGCAGGGGCCAATTACTTGGGTCATCTCTGCTACTTGTCCCAGGCAATCAGCTGGAAGTTGGATCAGAAGCGGAGCAGCTGGGACATGACCCAGTGCCCATATGGCATGTTGGCATCACAGATGGTGGTTTCACCTGTTACACTATAACAGCAGCCCAGGTACAGATTAACTTTGCTAAATCCCTAATTCAGGGCTTCCACTTTCAGGAAGACTTGAAAAGCTAGGTGTCCTGTAGTATTTGGATTCCTTTACTCTCTTTAGAGAGGAAAAAGAACATCTCCTCCTCCTACAGTAGAAATAGCTAAGAAGGTAAAATATAAAAGTCTTCAGTTCTGGGTTAGGGGAAGAACATAAACAGGAAAAATCAAGATTTTCAATTACTTAGAATAACAGTGCAGATCGGAGTCACCAGGGCAAGCACAACCCAGTTGTGTGCATCTGAGATTCAGTAAACATGGCAGACACAACCTCTGCTTGGGATTGGCACCGATGCAGCCTCTTGTGCTTGGGGCTCAGTTTCCACTACTAGAAAGCAGCTAGGAAAGAAAGAGTATGGGATGTGGAAGTCAAACACTCACTCTCTAAACTCTGGGCACATCTGTCATCTACATCTCAGTTGTCTGATCTGTCCAATTAAGAGTGAAATGGGATCTCCTAGCACTCAATGTTTTTATTAAGATTTAAGCTTTTCATATCAAAACCAACTTGTTTAACATTAAGGCCCATATGGATGTTCATTATATAAGCAAGATAACCACAGCTCTTCTTTTTCACTTGAAATCACCGTACTCTTTCCCTGGTAAAGCTATGCGTGTCACTGTTCCCTGTGTTCCCAGTAACTGTTTTCTGTTAAGAAGGCATTTCTATTGGGTAAGACAGGAAGCAATCTACACAAGTGAAGCCAAATAAGCACAGCACGTTTTTCACATTCCATTTCTCCACTGGACCCAACATTCCACATTCTTACCTACTCATCAGAAGATTCTGGAAGAGGGCTCATGGGTCTGGGGGATGACATTTGATGGTATTTTTATTATTAATACAGAGGACCAAATTGTGCGGGGACAAACAGAACTGCTAAGTGTCACCAAAAGAAAGGCGATCCCAACTACCTCCCATAAAAGCCCCTTGGAAAAGGCTGCTTGCTCCCCAGTGACTCATGCAGACTGCCCTCTCTATGCTAAATATCTCAATCCTGCTTTCATTGACAACTAGGTTGCTTTCAGAAATCCTGGCCATGTTCCCGGCACTTTTTCAAGTACTGCTCTACAGTTACAAGTTGGTGGGGGTGAGGGAAGATCTGTAGGCACTGGCAACAACAGTGTGCAGTGGACGAGAGCCGGTGACTAGGGTGGCCAAGCAGGTACCTCTGTGGGTAAACTGGTCTTGGATTCGGTTTCCCCGCTTCTTCCTCAGATGTAAAATGAACACGGTATTAATATTTTTCATTTTAGTGGGTTAAACAGCATAAAAGATCAAATAAATAAAACTCCTGTGACAGTTCTGGCACTCCAGGTCCTGGTAAATGCAGGCTATCAATTTCATTAGATTTTAGGAAAATGAACCCAAAGTTCAATATGGCAGGTAGGGGGCCATGAGAGGAAACCAGAGGCCACATCACCAACGGCCTTGAGCTGAATCCTGTCGGAAATGAGGAATTACTGGAGGACCCTAAACCTGAGACTGCTTACAGACAAACACAGGAGCAAGCAGCGGCACAGCGTGCAGGGAAGGGAGACTGGCAGGAGGAAGGAGCTGCCCAGCTCACAAGAAACACAGCATCGATGGCTTTTACACACACTCAGCAGTGTTGGCCAATTAACAAGGAATACATCCTTATCACTCTAACTATACACCAGAAGGAAAACTATAAGGAACTCTGCAACATCACTAAGCAAGACTAAACACTGCTCTGAACTACAGCTCTCAGACATGCTAAATTTTTAAAACCATCCAGGGCATTCATCTTATTCCAAGCAGGTATATTAATGAACCTGTATTTTATATATTAATAAGTTTCACAATTAATTTTGAAGCCAATTTTTAAATGCCATTTAAAAATACTGCATTTCTTTTTTCAGGGAACCACATTTCATTTTTTAGCATTTTCCACCGATGAGTCCAGCCAGCAAGCGGTCCCCTATCAAAGGTGACTTACTCTGCTACACACTTATTCCTCCCACAATACATCAACAGGTGGTAGGGACTCCACGTCATTAACCTGTGTCCTCAGAGAACTGCCACCACAGCCGCCCAACTGTATGCAGGGGGCTCTGCATCTTGGCAGAATTCTGAACTACAAGCCAATAAACGCTAAAGTTAAAGTTCAGAATATATTATCTAAGTAGGGAACTAAGTAAGTTTACATTTTGTGTCACTTTTATTTTCTTTCCAAAACCAAATTCTCGCCTAGACTGCTTAAAAATCTTTCCATCAGAAATCCAATAGTCAGACTGGTATTTAAGGAAAAAAAAAGTCAAGATTAAGGATACTAAAAGTGATACATGGAAGCACCCCATACTTCCTCCTGCCTTTTCTCCTAAGCACCTCCTAAAAGCTCTGCACACTAGGAAAATGGATCCTAAAGAACAACTCAGACTCCTCTTTGCTTTGACTCCCACAGGAACTAGGCAGGGTGACAGAACACTGGATTCATCTTATAAAAAAGGCTCAAGGTGACTTAAGCATTTGTGAGAAGAGATTCTGACTCACAGGATCTTCTTCATCCCCTTCCACCAGCACATACTCCATCATCCTGCCCCAATACGATGATGCCTAGGGCTTTGACCTGGAGCCACTCTCTGTCATTCCCAGCCACCTTCTCACCGTCTTCTGCGTCATTGGCTAAGTCACCCTGAGTCTGTGGCATGGGCCACAGCTCTGCAGAGGACGCCAAAGCCGCAGACCCAGAATCATGCAAGAGGGACCTACTTTTTCTCGTGATTCTCATCTGTGTAGGTGATGCCATAAAACCCGTAGTATGAGCTGGAGATGTTTGCTGTATATTCTATCCGTATGGTGTAATTGTGCCCCTCGAGGAGGGCTTCGGGGGCCACGATTGCAATCTGTTCATGAAACGGATACTCCAGGATCTCAACTTGCTTTTCCTGGTTTGAAACTGCAGACATAAAGGTCACTCTTGAAATATTATGGCCTGTGCTATGAAGAATGATGTTCCAAGTGGCCTGAACAGCTTGAACAGAAATTGTCACTGAACCACTGAATGTCATGGAGGTTAGGTTTGGATGTAGGTTAAGCTCATAGCGCAGCGGGATGATGGCCGCAGGAAGCCGCATCTGGGCCCACGGAAACAGCTTCCCATTTGTGGCAATTGGCTGAATTAGTTCCATGGACTGGTTTTTCTTATGGCATCCTTCTTTGGTAAAGGTACACCTGGGCAGCAGGTAAATCACCATGATTACAGAAACAGCAACCACAATGACAAAAGCACAGACCCCCATGGTCCTTGCGGAGGGTACTGAACAAGCCCCATCCGGGCTCTGCCGGTAGCCGGCGGCACTGTTCCGGAGGCCCGAGCTCCTGTTCATGAAGGACATGCCCAGCAGTTTTGCCGACGACTCGTAGTCCTCCTCCTCTTCGTCCATCTCGTGCTCACCAAGGCCCCGCACCAGCAGGCGGGAGCCACGGGGCTCATACTCCACCTCATCCGGCTCTAGAGGATGTAAACAAGGCTCTTTGGCTAAATCCACCACATCTGGTTCTTCCTCAAACATGCTGTTTTCAATCATATTCCTGGGGAGCTGCAGGCGATCTGCAAAACCAAAGCAAAGACCAGGCCCAGAGTTAGAGAACACAGATTACAGCAAGACGTCTGCTGGCAGGACCACACTCACTCTTCAACTGCCGACACTCGCTCCAATCTCAGAGCTATTAAATTAATAAACAAGGTGCTCACAACGTTGAGCCATCCATTTCAAGTTCAAGCATAAATGAGAGTATCCCACAGTCACAAAACAAAAATGCTAAATAAACAGGCTGGCATCAAAAGACACAGCTGAGACTACATACCAATCTCCCTAATACATTCCTGTCCAGCCCTGTGGGCCCTGACCCGCACATCCCAGGGCCTGCATCAGCCTGCTTCCAGCTGGCTCTGTCCCCACAGAATATGGAGTCATTGAAGCTAGGAATATGCTCTCCTTCTGAGTTCTGGGCACGAGATCCCTGAATCCCTGCCCAAAGGGCTCAAACCTGCTCCCAGCATCTTCCTAGTCATCACTTCTGAACCCCTCCCCCTGCGGAGCACTGCAACTGCTGTGCCTGTTTCTGGGCCTGGTGGTGACTAAGCAATTCCCGTCACATAGCAATCTTACACAAAATTTCCTATAACAACAAGTCACCCCAAAAATCAGATCAATTTGTTTTTCATGCTTGCACAGCATCTGCAAATACAATACACTCCCATCAGTGATGAACACACCTTACGTTGGGAATGTTAATAGACTTTGGGGTAAGGCAGTGGAGGCAGATTCGCAAGCTGCCAAGAACCAATCTCATCCCCTAAAACGTAATTTGCCAAGAATCATTAAGGAAAAGAAGACCAAAAAGCTGAAAGGATAAGTAATCCCACACATATTAATTAGGCCATTCAAAATTCTTTATTAAAAAAAAATCACTAAAGGTTAGCTTGTAAGAGATTTCAAAAGTTATAAACCGGGCCTGGTGCGGTAGCTAAGTGCCTAAAGTCCTCACCTGGCATGCACCAGGATCTCACATTGGGTGCCGGTTCTTGTCCCAGCAGCGCTACTTCCCATCCAGCTCCCTGCTTGTGATCTGGGAAAGCATCAAGAACAGTCCAAAGCCTTGGGACCCTGCACCTGCATGGGCTCCTGGCTTGGAACTGGCTCAGCTCCAGTCCTTGTGGCCGCTTTGGGGAACAAATCATCAGATGGAAGATCTTCCTTTCTGTCTCTTCCTCTCTGTATATCTGCCTTTCTAATAAATCTTCAAAAAAAATTGTCAAACTGAGATCATCATTAGCCTTTCCCTACAGAAAACTTTATATGTTTATATTCCCAACACTTACAATAATTCTATAACAAATATCCCACTTTAGACCCAAGATAACAAAAGAAAAAACTGAGTTATATTACAAAACAGTTGTATGACTTTATTGAGATAACTAAAAATCGAATTCCTAAATTTTTACAAGATTTATTTACATGAAAGGCAGAATGACACCCAGATCCGTGCACATACATACAGAGCCAGAGGGTGAGCTCTTCCATTCGCTGGTTCCTGCTGCACAGGTCCCAGCCAGAAGGAAAGCATCTGTCCTCCCCCGTGAGGGGGCAGGGAGCGAGTACCTCAGCCATTATCTACTGCCTTTCGGAGTGCACCAGCAGGAAGCAAGCAGCAGGGACTTGAACTGACACTGAGATCCAGGCGTCTCAGGTAGTACCTTAACTTGGCTGTGATGTAACACCTGCCCCTAATTCAAGCTTGAGGCTCTTTCCATCACCAAATTGATTGTCTGTACTTTAACTAATTCAATAGAAGAGGTGATATTATGACTAAATTATTTATTCTGCACCTGGCAATAAGGTTGTTAAAAGTATCATCGCATCATTAACAGAATAAAGTTTAAATAAAACCATTTACCTTAATTAAAAAAAAAAAAGCCATGTATTTCGTACTACTCAACAAACGCCAATAGTGGCAACTCCTATAACTCCTATTAGCAAACAAAACATTGATAAATATTAAGATAAAATTTAGTTCTGCTACTCAAAAGACAGTGGTGTAGAGTGCAGCAGTATCTGCGTTACACACGGTAGTGTGTGAGGAGGGCAGATGTTCACAATCCTGCCTTGCACAGGAATTCCTGTGGCTTACGTGCATGTCAGTTTGAGCGGTGCAGGTCTGGATCTTCCCTGCGGTGAGATCCCAACCAGACAGTGGCTCTGTACCCTAGGTCACTGTATTCCTGGGGGAGCTCTGGCCACCCGAAACTGCCTACTCCTCTGAGCACAAGCGAGGTCCGTGCTTTTTCTTTCTGATAATAATTTATTTACATTTGAAAGGTAGAGAGAGAAAGATTGTCATCCTCTGGCTCAAATCGTTGCAACAGAATCAGGTGAGGTTGCAGCCAGGCGCTGGGAACTCCATCTGGGTCTTCCACAGTGGTTGGCAGAAGCCTAACACTTGAGCCAGCACCTGCTGTCTCACTAGGTGCATTAGCAGGTGGCTGATAAGAGGAGCAGCTGGGACTGGATCTCTGACACAGGACGTTAGTGTTGCAGGCAGCAGCGTAACCTGCGGTGCCACCATGCCCACCCGGAGCTGCCATTTCACACTCTCCTTCACATGTCTTCAAAGTCACCAATTCCTCCTCTTCTTTTTCTTAAGATTTTATTTTTATCAGAAAGTCAGAATCCCAGAGCCTCCTCCAGGTCTCCCACACGAATGCAGGGTCCCAAGGCTTTTGAACCATCCTTGACTGCTTTCCCAGGTCACAAAAAAGGAGCTGGATGGGAAGCGGGAATGCCAAGATTAGAACTGGCAGCCACATGGGATCCTGGCATGTGCAAGGCAAGGACCACAGCTGCCAGGCTACTGCGCTTGGCCCACCACTTCCTCTTATCTGTCCACCTGCAGAACATCTGTCATTCTGTAACTTGGAACCTGCTACATGGTTGACCTTTTTTCTTTAGTTTTCTTTTTAGATTTCCTATTTTAAAAAGTAAGTTTTCATTTCACACTTCTGTTTTGAGCAGCACACAGACCCTGGTGAGGGTGTCTTTTCCCGCTTCTTTCCATTCCAAATTCTGCACTACATCACCTTAAAAGTTTTCTTTAAATAAAACTTTTAGTCATTATCTAGGTCTGGGTTTAGCAAGATATTATCTATCCATTTTCGCGAGTGGTCTGAAAACGGAAGAAAAGTTAACAACCTTCATACCTTCCAATTTCCTTAAGAATCGGCTCTCTCCAGTTACACTGCATCCTTGCTGCTTAAATTAATTTAATAAAATATGAAAATTTACACCTGCGTCATTTACTTGGTAGTTGGTGATGAAGTTGTTCATGCTAGACATTCATTGTGGTAATTTTTCAGAACCTGGCACGGCGCTAAAGATTCGCTGCTCAATTTCCTTTATATCCTACAATGAACAAAAGGTTCTTCTGACTTTTTGATCCCATATAACTCACACGGGGAGATGGCATTTCTCATGCACTTGCCTACAGCTTCTTTGCATGTTGGACCTGATGCAGACAACAATGGGGTCTGGACAGTGTAGTTTTACTTAATATATTTCTAAACTAACTGACTGGAATCTCAATGTAGCAGTTGGTGCATTCTCATTCCTGAATTGTGTTTCCTCAAAATTTGGTTCTTTCATTTTTTCAGTCATGTGCTGTTTAAAGCTAAGGGACAGGGGCTGGTACTGTGGCACAGTGGGTTAAGTCATGACTTGCCAAGGCAGCATCCCATACCAGAACGCCAGTTCGTGTCCCAGCTGCTCTGCCTCTGATACAACTTCCCACTAACACATCTGGGAACGCGGGGGAAAGCAGGGGAAACACATGAGCCAGTCACTTGGGTCGCTGCCACCCAGGAGAGCTCAGGACAGGAGTCCCGGGTTCCTGCCACAGCCTGGCCCATTCCTGATGTTGTGGCTATTTGGGAAGTGAACCAGTAGATGGAAGCTTTCTCTGTCTCTCCATTTCCCTCTCCTTTCTGCCTTTAAAATCTTCTTTTTAAAGAAAGAATGGGTTAAGCCAAGAGATGGTCTGCAGTTTAACCATTTAACATCTCCTGTCTATACATCATTGACCTAAATTTTCTGACAAGGGTTTAGTCAAATGTCTACCAAAATCCAGTTTAACTTATTATTTAACATCCAGATTACCTGTGCAGACTTTTAATCTTTCAGCAATGGAAATTTTACTTAATATCAGAGGCTGACTTTTGGGCACATATAAACCTATCAATTTCAACACACACCCACACCCACCCAGAGAAATAACTTTTTAATGGGTTGTCCATGAAGACTGTGTTTCAAGGTGTTTAAGAAAACATTGGCTTGTTTCTTTGATTTTAGCACAAATTATAACACATGATTACCTCTTGTTCTAACAGGACTTACTCCTACCATAAAGATGGTAAACTTAAGAAACAAAGGGTTTTCTCAAACCTCTTAAATCCTCATACACAAGCTATCTGTAAGCCAACAGCTCCTGGTGGAAATGTTTCTTTTTCAAGTAACAGAAGCCCATGTGGTAATAATCTAGGATCACTGAAGAGTTTGCTTTTCATCAGCTCCTGGGAGCGCTGCCTCCTTGACATGGTTCCTGGACCAGCGCCAATCCAGACTGTTTGCTATCCATCTGTGACAAGGCACGCATAGAAAATTAGTACCCAAAAACTTCCATGGCAATTTGACAAAGTGATTTTATGTAAGCTGACTTTAATACTACTTAAAGTGGAGTTTATATTTTGCATGTCTTTTTAATTTCATTTTTATAATGATTAATTTTTAATGTTACAAAACTTCAATAACAAAAGTAAAAAAAAATCATGGTTCTAAAGCCTGGATACTCTGTGAAGCGGTGGGTCACACTATCACTGTACCACTATCTAGCTCAAGACCAAGTTCTCCACTGTGACAGCAGCACAGCAGGAAGTGAAGAGGAAGGAATGATTACAAGTCATGCTAAACATGCAAAATGAATGACAAATGCCCCACTGAGTTGGACAGGCCATTAAGGTGGTGAGAGAGGGGGAGGTATGTCCCTATACACAGCTGA